ATGTTAATAACGTTTCCACTGCCACCATGTCCGTTGATCAGTAATGATAGATAAAACAGGAGCAATTGACTTAGAGAAAGTACAACTTTATTGAGAAGCTATTCGTGACGTCATCAAGTACAATACAACTAGAGACACCTATCGGTGACTTATGAAACTAAATTAAAGGCTCATGTTTGTATCACATGACAGGGGGGGAGGTACGAAAATTTCCAATGAACATGCGTGACATATACGGGATTCGCGTGACAAATCCAAACAAATTGCGTTCGGTTTTTTTCCGACGTTCGTATTTTTACCGTATCGTAAACATATTTCGAAAAAATTTCTACAGAAATATTTTTGCTTGACAATTACCAGGTAAAATGCGTATTTGCGTGACATTTTCTGTCACGCAAAAAAAACTGGCGTGACTTCAAATTCTTCAGCAAATGCGTGACAAATACGCAAATTGCGGGACAGTTGACAGGCCTGCATTAGGTACCCTGAGTCACAGGCTACCCAGTCATCTGTTTTTTAGGCAGACCCTAAATAATATACATTTCTTCATAAATAACTAATGTGACAGCCAAGGAGGATTTTCTCCCAGTGACGCCAATCGATATTCTGTTTCATATATGGGTATCACATAGCCATGTTATGAATACAAGAATGCATACAAGAATGTTCAAATATGGAGTTGTAACTGAATCTTATGTATCTGATTATATTCCAAGACATCATAGAAGTATGCTTGCCAAACTGAGAACAGGTAGTCTCCCACTTAACATTGAGACTGGTAGATGGTCAAACATAGCATTGCAAGATCGAACTTGTAAATTATGTGATAGTAACACTATTGAAGATGAATTGCACTTTGCCATTCAATGTAAACATTACTCCAGCCTCAGATCACACTTTTATGAAACTGTTACAAACATTTTGACACCACATATAAAAACAAATACTGACAATGATTTACTTCTATTTATTAGTCTCATGCATTCAAAATCAATTCAAAGGCAATGGGCTGCTCTCTTGCATAACATGTTTGTAAAGAGACAATTTGACCTTGAAAGGCTGACTGAAACATAATTATTTGTAATGTCCTAATGTATGTTTCACCATATTCATTCGATTGAGTGCCTCATTACTTTTATACTATAATTTAACTAGTCAATTTAAAGAGGCAATATGTTACATGTTAACTCTTTCTATGTATTATGTATATGAATTTATAATTATCAAACCTGTGCAATACTTGGGATAAATTGTTTTATTATACATTACTGATACGCATTGTCTACAGTCTGACAGTATATGCTTAATGTTCTTGCGATAATAATTTGGAAGTTAGTGACCAGTGTCTCATAAGCCGACATCGGCTGGTGGTATTTTAACTATGTTCTTATATATGTATTAATTGTATCATACCAGTGACACTTAAATAAAATATTTTAAACTTAATACAAAATTCAATCAAGAATATCAGCCATTCTCCTGGCAGCCATAGAAATATACAGGCAGGATCGGAAACTACCGCATCGATTGGAGATTAAAGAATATTGAGTTGGAACCCTGGCTTCCAATCCTCCTTGGGTGACAGCTTAATATGAGAATTCAAAATATTATAATGACTCTTATGGTTTTTTAATCTTGTATTAGACAAAAACGTCAAGTATGTGAGGTCAAATAATATGTTAGCACTGTTTATTTTGCAGAACCGCTAATACTAGAAAAGAGAAGGCTTTAGATGTAGATCTTATGAAGACAACACTCCTGGATGCATTTACTTGTGGTAGAAAACACAATGCAAAACTAACTTGGAAAATATGAGATGGCAACTAAGGTACCAACATTTGAAACAGGGCCGATATCATTTGAATATCGACTTGCCGATCGCTATACAAAGTGACAAAAGTCAGTGAACATAACAAAGAGAGTTTGCATATATTGGAAGGAATCTATGTTTGCACTGCAAGTATGTAACACCATCATCAAAATGTATATTTAATTTTAAAAAAATGTTTGTTTGTTATTCTACTTAATTAATTAACTTATTCTTACTTGACATTGATAGACTGATAATTAATATTTCAGAAAATCCGGTCAAACTCTCATGGCTATATGAGAAGGACATACACATCAGTCAAAAAAGAAAGTGATTAATCCTAACAGCATTATTGAATGAACAAAGTCGAGGTCTGCAGAAAAAGGTATGAGCATTACATTGAATCAAAACACAATAATGGTCAAAAAGGTATATTCCACTCAAATTATTATATTCCATTACACTCCATATGAAATTTGAAGTGTTATTTTCCCGCTTATTTTGTTATTTTTCTTTATTATTAGGAGTGTCTGTCTGCTTTTGTCTGTTCATCCGTCAAGTTGAGTCTGCATGAAAACATAGATAAACTGTTTAATCTATACTATTTCAGGTTGTAACCAGCAAATGTCCATTAAATCAGGGGGAAACCAGAGACCCCTCCAAATAAGACAGAAGTTAGAGGTGGAATACATAGTAGGATATAGAATGAGTCCTGGTGAAGCAGTGAAGATTGGTTTGGTTGTGGAAATTGGACATTAAAATTTACTTTTAACGGGATATCAATTGAACATGGCAAACTTTATATCCAATGGCATCTACTGTACCATGACTATTGACAGGGAACTTAAAATTGAAGTTAAGCATTCGCTTTAACACAGTCCAATTAATTGAATCCCACAACAAATCAGAAAAAAGATCAACTTACAACAAAATTTTAAAAAAACATTGAAACCCCCCCCCGCCACAATTCGAGACACACAGATAAATACTATTAATCCAGTATTTTGACAGCTACAAATTGTCAAAGATCTATCAAATGAAGTGAAAGTGACAAGGTTCACTTTTCCCCTTGGGTTGTACATTGTATATTATACCTTTTATATTTACTATAAAGTTACTATACTAGTATCATAATAGTTATTAACAAAAGAATTTGATTGTAAATAGTTCATCAATTTTAAATCAGCTTCAATCATGTGATGCAGAATGTACGTTAACATCTCTAAGTTAAAGGATCAAATAAATGAAAAATCAAATGAAATGGAATGGAATAACTTGACAACTTTTTCTGTATGTACTGAGTGTACTCAAAAATATGTACTGAAATATATTATTAAAGTAGTCAGACATACAATTTGATGAACTTAAGGTTGAACATATACATTTTGTAATGATGTACAGTAGATTAAACCAGAACTGTCACTGAGAACCATATATAAAAAGAAATTGTTATTTTCTAATTACTTTGATGTGAATTAGAGTATATTATGTCCATTTCTGTCAGAAAAGTATGGATAATGTGGTCATATGCAACATTGCATAACTTAATTAGGGTTCACCTCACTATGATCAGTCCATGTCTGAATTCAGACGGTTGAATCAGTTTTTTAACATGGAAAAGCCTATGTCTGAATTCAGACACAGTCTCATTATAATGAGATGAATTTGTTTATGTGTCTGAATTCAGACAAGATTTCAATCTGAGAAAATTGATACTGATTTCCACTGTCTGAATTCAGACACAACACATAAGATAAACAAATTCATCTTACTATTATCAAATTTTGTCTGAATTCAGACAGTTGAAATCAGCTTCTGCTTTCTAATATGGAAAAGCCTGTGTCTGAATTCAGACACAAGAGATAAACAAATTCATCTTACTATTATCAAGTTGTGTCTGAATTCAGACAGTGAAAATTTAGGTTTCTTATAGATTAGAAAGCCGCTGCCTGAATTCAGACACAGAATATTCAAGTATAAGATACACTATATGTTTAGCTAAGGAATGTTTCTGTCTGAATTCAGACAACTTGTTTCCCTCTGAAATACATGTGCCTGAATTAGTGTAAGAAGATGCAATGAATAAATATGTCATGAGTAAAAACACCTATAAAACAGTTTTGTTTAATACTTTTGTCAAACTGGAAAAATGTCAAACTTCACTGGAACCTGTTTATATACAAATTAAAATATGTCCAGTAAAAGAAAATATTATCTGCCCAACACAAGACCTAGAAGTCACATTTTTAAAGAAAATTATTTTTTCAAAGTAAAATGGTAAACTCTTTTTAAAACCACATTTCTTAATGTAATTTTACATGTAGATTCCAAATATGACATCAGTTTGACTGAATTGTGAGTTTTTAATGACGTAAATCAAGATTATTTCTACTCGCATTTGGGATATTGCCTAAAATACAGAAATGTTGGACTTTTGAAAAATAGCATGAAATGAAGAGAGCGAAAAATATCCTAAATATGGACAATTTTCTGTCCAACAACTTTAAACATCTATAAGTTTGTACTGATGCTGAACAAGGTCATCTTTCAGAATTAAAAATAGGTCCAAAATTTAAAAAAAGTTTGGTACCTAAATCGCCATATTTATGTGAGGAATTTTTTCAACCACTGTATATATATGCCTCATAGCCAAAGCAGAAGATAAATGGTATATAAAAAGTTGGATAAATAGTTGTAATAAAAATATACAATTGATTGTACTGCCACCTTTCAATGAGATGATTTTAAGTAGCAAAATGATGGCACATTCATTGTGGTCCAGATATCTATCAATATTGTCTTTTTACAGATAAAATGATGAATATTGAGTAGTGGATGGTAACCTTACTTCAATATTGGGAAGGGGATTTAGATGTTTTCGTTAAATTAATTTTGAAGGAACCCCTCTCCCCAAGGAGGATTGGCTCCCAGGATCAAAACTCATATTTTCCAACGATGAAAATGTCGCAATGTCTTTATTTTCTGAAATTATAACCGACTATAAATTCAAAATAAATAGTTCAACAAATTCGATTCAATCATTTCTTGTGAGTTTTGGAATTTTTTGTCAGGAAATAAGACCAAAAGTCATGATTCAAATGATGAAGTGAACAAAATGGCGGATGTTTGAATTCGAATTTTGTATCAAGACATGCCCATATATGGGACAGAATATCAATATTGCACTCTGGGAGCCAATCCTCCTTGCCCTCTACCTGAATGATTGTACAGGTATTTCCAACCAAATTTCATGAATGATTCATACAACACATAATCTTGGTGTTCAATTATTTATTTGTTTCAGATTTACACATTCCTGTGTTTTTAAAATAACTTTCAAGTGGTTTTTAATGAGGTATGCATTGCCTCACATCTACATATGTAAGTGTGTGACATGTGTGAGCATGGAATATAATACATGTAATACTACTGACATTTATTACGATTTACCGTATATTGATCATTTTGATCCAATCAACAAAAATTATGTTTTAAAATGAGTAGAACTGATCAATACTTATTACAAGCTACTTTTACAAAATTAAGCATTAAGATTAGTAAAATGCTCTTGGCACTTGTGCATCCATATTTACGACTTTTAAGGAAGCAATTCTTACCTGGTCCCCATTTTTGCCACTTAAACTGACTAAAATTACATTAACTGAAATAATTTCAGCAATCCAGACACATATCATGTACAGAGCACCAAGTGTTGACTGCTTCTTTCACAGCATATGACCTAGCTACTTGTACCATAGAGAGCCATACATGCATTGTATCATTGAAAAGACCCTTCAATTTTGGGTTAGGGTGAACACTGTATGACAACCAACTTGAACAACCTAACCAGTCACAACTTTAATACCTTACGCAAAAGAGTCACCAAGCGTGGACAGTTTTTGAAACGTCAATATAATTGGGCTCAGATTTTCAAATACTGTAAATTGATTAAGAATCACCAAATTAAAGAAGACACTGAAGTGCTGAAATGAAGTAGTACTGTCTGATTACATCATCTTAATGCCTGTCACATTCGCTCCACATTTTATCCAGAATTGAATGGTCTTTCCAATGATATGGATAATATGTTTAGGTACCTAAGCTTATTGTTGTTACTGTGGAGGGGGCAGCCATCATGTCCTAGGCCAAAAGAAACCTATTCCCTTTACATGTTGTCGTCTAGCCTCATCAAGACACTGTAGCCCCCAACTTCCTTCATAATCTCCTACTCGGGTCTGAGGAAAGAGAGATGGGGGGAATAGGGTCTTGGCCAAAGACTAAATCTTCTCTTGATTAGAGTATTATATTTGCACTGAAGTTTTAGTACTTTGACTTCATTTGAGTTTTCAAATAACTAAATTAACACATTGAATTATTGCACTACATTCAAGAAATATTCTCGCTCACAATATCAACTTTCGCATTATCAGCAGAGGTTAACATTTTTTCAGTTTCACTAGATTCATGTTGTGGAGATTGTTTAGAAATGTTTTCCATTGAGATCCGTGACTTTACAATACTCTTTTGTAAAGCTTCCTTGAGTCTCTTTCTTCTACGCATGATAGGCACCACTGCTCCTACAATGCTGGATATTACTGCTAAGGCACCTGGAAGAAGAAATTAAATGAGGGTTAGTTATTTTCTTAACATACAAAGAAGGCACCTATACACAGACATACAAGTACTCACCACAGTCTTTTATATAAGTCATGGGCCACTTAGGCAAACACCCTGTAGTACTATGTAACAAGCAGTGCCTGAACTGGGGATTGAATCCAGGACCTCATAATAATTATGTGTAATTGGTACACGCTCCACCATTGAGGTTCTATCATTGAGCTATGCAGATGGACCTATTGACCAATCAGATTTTAGCTTTTATTTTGTGTTTAATTAGTATTCAGTTTGCCAAGGGGGTTCACTTTTTGTAAAATTCCAGAGGGGTTCACTTGTGATAATTTTGGTCCAAAAATGGCCAAAATCACTTAAAAAGTGCTCGCAATGGTGAAAAACTGCATGATTTTGCTTTGTTTAGAGATGTGAAGTAATGTAGGCATTCAATGATATGACCAATCACTGTGACAGTAAGAGAAAAGCAATAGACTTACTTGAGGTGTAGAATGTCTTTGAATAGGAAAGTGTCTGATCAAAGAGCCATCCTGAAATATATAAAAAGTACAGCTAGATAATTCACTTCAGTCATGATAACTCCACTCTGCTGCAAGTTTCACCACTTGGTTTGATTAGTACATGTACTCACATTTATAAGAGCAACGTATTACATTAAAAGGACAACTGAAATAGTAATTTAAACTTAAGGAATCAATTTCATTTAATTAATATATAGAAGTTATAAATAATGTATTTGGACATGTCATCTAATCAGTAATGTGGCAAAGTTTCATTCTACTGAACGTGGTAGTGATTTAATAAGCAATATTTAAATGTTTTGTAACATATTTTGGCCACCACTTGACTTCACTGGCCCCCACTTTATGTCCACTGAATCATGATGTCATAATTCCAAGATCATGTTTTGTTATTTGTTTACACAACAATCCTGGGGTTGCTATAATGTTGCGATTACCAAGGAATCAATAAACTAGAACTATAAATAAATATGACATAACTGATTATGGGGGGGGCCAATCTGACCGATATCTTAATTTTATAATACATGTACTGTTATTAGACTTTTAACAATAATTGATCATTAATTTTTGATGGTTATTGGGAAAACTCTATCTTGGGCTAACAATGCCGAAAACTGAATTTTCATAGCTGCAAGTTAAGAAAACCTATTTCAGTTGTGATTTAATTAAGGCACTCTGAATTTATCATTCAGTTTTTAGATATGCAAAAAAACTACAACATCCTCTTGAAATAAAGATGTTCTCTCTAATCAATGAATAACTAAATACATATTATTTAAAAAAAAAGTACCTCCTATAGGTGGCCCTGTCATGCTTCCTGTCCCCAGCACAACCATCAGCACTCCAAAGCTTATAGAAAGATTCTCAATGCCCAATATGTCAACAGCTATAGGGGCCATCAAGACGAAGAAAACATTACTTATAGCACCAAACAATACTGCTTGTAATATCTGTCCCCAAAACATTTTTCCCAGGGTCGGCAATAAGGCCATTATTATGGCAGAAACTGCAAATGATCCACAATACAAAATTGATCGGTCCATATTTTTCAAATTTCCTATCACTCCAATAATAAGTCTACCAATAATACTTCCAACTGATACAAAGGATGCAATAAGTGTTGCTTGGATGGAGGACATTCCTTGGTTGATGGCAAATGCTATTAAGTGAAGAAGTGTTATCCCTCGGCTTAAGCCCCATAAAAACGTTGCAAAACCTAGTATGATATAAATAGGGTCCACTAGCACTTTTAAATTAATACTTGAGCTATTTTTCTTCTGACTAGTAGGGAGTGGTTTCATTAATGCTCCACAAAGCGTTACATTGAATACTAATGCCCCTAAGAAAAGAAAAGCTCCACGCCATCCATAGTGGTCTTTCAGGGCCGATATGATAAAGGAGAAGGCCAGGCCTCCCATGCCGCTACCAGAGGCTGCAATTCCTGTCGCAAGTGTCTGTTGCTCATCAAAGTATGCCGCAATGATTACAAATGTTGGGGTGAAACTCAGTCCCATACCAGCACCTGAAATTATTCATACAAAAAGCATTGTAAATGATTTACAGGGTGATCCAAAAAAGTGAACTGCTGCAACAGACTATATTTTCCTAATAATACATGCATGAATTGGCTGTGTTATCACATGTTGTAGAGAAAGGTCTAAAATTTTTGTTGATGCCATAATTTATTCTCAGTCTTGATTTTGAAGAAATTACAAGCGTGCCTGAAAATTTTACCAATGCGATTCAGGGAAATTGTTGAAACATATTGGACGATCTCAAAACAACTCTCAGTGAGTTATATAATTTTAAAACCCTACAATATAACAAACTGTTGCACTATCTGTAATAGTCAGAGAGCAGCTTGGCTAATAAATAGGGATTAGGGTATGAATAACCTACCAGTAATAACACCAAATGTGAGATACTGCATTGTGAGAGTTCTGGTGAATGCACTGACAGTGAGGCCAACGCACATCAATAAGCCACCCAACATGACACACACCCTGCAGCTAAACTTCTTTACAACTATTCCAGCTATTGGTGCTGAAAATATCCATACAAATACAATCAGTAATCATGGACATAAATTGTACAAAATTACATGTATGCTATGAGTTATTATCTAAGTTATTTAGATCTTAAAAAGAGAATCAAATCTAGCAAGCAGGCCAAGAAAAAAATTGTTTCAATTTTAGAATATTTGTGGCTCATATCATTCATTGTCATGTTTATTTTCTAAAAAATCCCCAAAGTGCACACTTTATTTCAGGAAAACTAAAGATTTTTACAATAATGTGTTATTTTTCTCTAAGAATGGTTACCATTCTTATTATTTGGGAGAATTTAATCATCACCCATTTTTGCACTTTGAATCCGTAATTTAACTTCACCAATTTATAACATATCATGAATCTTTTTGGAAATATTGTATTTGTGATTGTAAGGAATACATTGGTAGGTCAATTGTACATGTAGCTTGTAATTTTGTCACCCCTATATATCTTATTCTGCCTTTAAATTGAGCCATTCTAAATCTTCAATTATTACTCAATTCAGTATACACCTTGACTTGAAAAAGATAATCTTTGAGTCCAATATACAATAGATTGAGGTGTAAGGCTCTATGGAAATCCTCCTTCACATCTATTTTCTTCCCCAATAATTATTTCCCCAACCAATGCTTACAGATCAAATGTGTTCCACAATGACATAGCAACAGTATTTTTTCAAAGAGGAGGGAAAACACAAGTGTTCAAAGAAGATATATGTCTATAATGTAAATGTGTATTGAGAAGCCATTGGTCTGAAATTGCCAAAAAATGACATCATTCAATGGTGGTTTCAAAATTTTCCAAAAACGCTTTGAATAATATAATTTTAATTTCTGGTATGTTAACCAATATCATAGCCTGTTATTTCACATCAAGATAAAGAAGGGTGTAAGGAATAATAATTACTAACATCATGGGCTTTCAAGGGATTGATAAAAACATCACAACGACGTGTTGTATTCGGAATTCTGACAAATGAAGGTGGTAAGCAAAATACATAATTAAACGTAATACATTTATGTCATCTCTAAAGTAAGCTCTGGGGTTTTCCTTCCTCTTATTTTTTCACTTACAGAAAAGAGCCATTGTAAACCATAGGATTGATCCAGCCCATGCTGTATCTGCCTTGCTCTGGTAAAATGCTTCCAGAAACATTACATTAAACAGAAATACATTGTTCCCGATAGCGCTCACAAGTGCCTGGCAGAAAAATGCAGCTCCACAAATGATCCAGCGATATTTCTTTTTCTCCATGGTAATACTATAGGGGGTGATAAAGTGTCAAGTTTGGTTCCGGGTCTGAAAAACAGAAGGACATAATTATTTCTATAAGAAATTTTTTTTGGCAGCCATTCACTATGCATATGTACATTATGTATGATGTATATTACAAAAGGGCTTGCAGTTTTCAGAAAATCTCATTGATTTTTTCCTGACAAATTTTCCTGATGTATATTGAAGCTGATATAGAAACATCTCTTATTCTCTGAGTTACTAATTGCAAGCACAATACATATTGTTCTTATATGTTAAAGGTGCATGCACTGTATCAAAAAACATATGTACAACAGATAATTTGTATACCCTTAGATCCAGTGGAAAATGAGGATGATGTTCCATGGAATGGGGTGGTTCAGTTGTTTATCTATATGTACAATACAAGTACATGTATGTGTAGGTCACGGATAGTGGGAAGTTAATAAACTAATAAACTTGTATAAAAGGTTGTAAAAGTAAAATTCCCATTCCATTTCTCCATGCCTACTGTGCACATACATGCATCTCACAATCTGATTGGTCCAATCGCAAAAATAAGGTTTTGACGTACCTTTAAATTTTCATGAATTCTGCCATTACATTTGCAGTATTATCTGGCCAGAATAGCAAGATTAAGGTATGAATTATTTTTTCCTGTAAAACTATCTGACTATACCTGTAGGCTGTATACCATTTCTTATGGAAGAAGGAGACCTCCTATGTTATCCAGATAATCGCTAAACTGGGGGGGGGGTGTAAGTTGTTACTTGTTATATTTTGTGACTGAAATTCCCTACAAAATTTCCTTGCTTATCACCCTAATTTCCTGATTTTGAGAGAAATGTATTGAGAAACAATAAAAGGTCAGTGAGGCAAATTAAAAAGTGGTTACATACTACTACAGAAGTTGATTTTTAATTGTGAAGTGCATCATGACATCAAAATCAACAAAAGGTTGAGTGACATTCTGCATTGCTCCTTAAGCTTAGTGAATGCCTCGCTGAAATCTGCAATGTGGTATCTTCATGTACAGTATAGGGGTCCTGTCCCGTCATAAATATCTTATAATATAATTTGGGGTGTTATCTCGGGCTTGTGCACTGTGATTTTCAAATTTGGATCATCGTGATAAAGATGTGTGCTATTTTTTTTTGAAAAATATCAATATTTTTCTAGATCTACATATTCATGTACATGTATCTGCCCAAGTCTGTATTTTTTACTTACCTAATCTTGAATTATCACTGCCTTGTATAATCTAATGCCTCACCATTGATATTATGATTCAGCGGTTATTCAGAGGTTTCAAGATTTCCATAATTCCTACGCTGTCGCTAAGTATTGATAAGCAAGATCGCATGGACATGACGTGTGACTTCAGGCTGATTGACCAATCAAAACGTTATCAGGAGAACCCGCATAAACAAAGCAAACTACTCGTCTCTACGACTTGACATTTTCAGTGATCTGATCGAGTATTGCTTCAGAATTACAATATATTATGTAATTAAATGTACATTGGAATGCAAGCAGTCATTAATATAAACTACATGTAAATCATGGGATTCAATGTTGATTTAAAACTGTATTTGCTATGAAAATACACAAAGACCTAGTCCATGAAGTTGTCATTGATCTGAATCTCAGCCTTAAAGCTAAATCTCAGCCTTGTTCGATCATCTTAGCGATCTTTTCAACGTTTCTTGTTGAAATCTTCTCACCTCCGACCGATGCTCCAGCATCTACTATAAAACTCTGATTGATATTATCTGATAAAATATTTGTATTTTCATGATGAATTGTGCAAGATTTGTTCGTGAAAAGTGTTACTTGTTTTGACTGTGCATAATAATGAGCTAACGCTGTAGGGCGGTAATAATAGAAATCAAGTTAAGTAAAAGAGACCAACTTGGGTAAGGCTAGTCTACAACCCATTTCATTGTTTTATTGCGTCAGTAGAACCCCAAAAATAAGAAATCAAGAAACCATTGTGCAATAATACATAGAAGTATATTCATATTGTGCATGAATGAGATTTGTATATTTCAGATTCTGTTCAGATTATTTAGTTTTTGTGCAATAAGCATGTGCCCTCTTCACTGGGGGGGTATCGTGATGCAACAACACCGTGTTGTTGCATCAAGATGGCCAAACTTCCGGTGATAGATTTTCGTACAATATTTTGTTTTCCCAATTTATAACCCATTTCTAGGACGAGTTGCTCAATAATCATACACGTGCAGTTAGCTCATGATCTATATTTTAAAAAATTCTCATTCGGGATTCAATATTGGTTTTATTCCGGGAGACATTATGATATTTCATCTTTTTACTCAATCGGGGAGAACGAATCCAAAGAGAACAATACTTCTACATGTGCGCCGTGCAAGATTTCCAATAGCTCGTCGTGTTTACCGAGAACGAAATATGTTTGTCCACCATTTTGAATGATACTAACTGGTATCAGGGTCATCAAGCTATGGAACAGGGGTTTATGAAAATAGATTGGGTTACTATAGCTTGCAATGTTAAAGGCGATTGAACTATGTTAAAAAACAACTTCCAGTACATTATGATATTTAAAAGTATAAATTTTTGAAAATACATATAAAGAATCTTCGCCCACAGGACGTGTATTTTGAATGCCTGAGAAGAACGCAAATGGGTACTGGCCCGGTGTTGCAATAGCAGCATTTAAAAATATGTTCCTCCCAAGATTTATGGTCTTCTGAAATAATACTATTTATTGGTGTTGTTGCATCATTGCTCAAACCTAGAGGAGTGTTGTTGCATCTTCGGTTTGGTGTTGTTGCATCAATAGTGATGAACTAAAACCATGAACTTCTTGCTTCTTGATGATGCTACATGTTTCTTTAAATATAGACCGTGCGCTAACTTCACGTGTATGGTTATTGAGAAACTCGTCCTAAAAATGGGTTTAAATTGGGGAAACAACATATAGTGCGAAAATCTATCACCGGAAGTCTGGCCATCTTGATGCAACAACACGGCGTTGTTGCATCACGATACCCCCCAGTGCTCTTGTACTAATTTAAAGAATTTCAGCTATGTTAATCTTATTGAAAATAACATGGCAGAGAAGCATCCAAATGTAAGAGGCCATACACTTTATTAGCTCCACTAGAAGCAATCCCGGGTGCAATCACAGAAAAACAAATGTACCAATATTTGATTTTTTAATTTTAGCAAAATGTGCACACATTTTACATGATTCGTGGCCTGTTTTAGCTAGATGCTGTATCTACTCACGAGGGATGTTATGTAACTTACATGTATGAGTTGTCACAATTGACTATTCTGAGCAAGGATTCACTGGATAACACCAAATTTATACTTTATTACGAAACATTTCAAAATGTTCTTTTTTTCTTTTGGCGGCCATTGAGGGTTTTCCGATGACGTCATTAATGTTAGCGGAATTCCCTCTATTGCCTGGTTTGGAAAATGGCATATATCAGGGTTTGAAAGCTATTTTATATTTGATAAGGATAATCTTACACAAATTTCTATGTCTTAATTCAAGAAGAATCAATACACATCCATAAAGCAAGGGGGAGTTTGTCAGAAAGGTAAATAATGATTCATCCCGTGACGTCACTTCCCTTCCATAGGAATTCAAGGAATGGGCTGGATTTATGTGGGTGAAAAGTACGTCTGATATCATACTATTCAAGAGCCGAGAACAAGGAATACAAAGTCTATAGTAAAGGTAAGATATGTGTGCACACTTTGCAACAACTTTTAAGAAAATCTATGTTAATTTGACAAAGTTTATCCATGTTTAATTACCGGCATTTTGACCTCTGAATCTTAAAAAGTGCAGGATGCTTTGACTTGTTTACAATAGCTGTGTAGCTGTGCAGTAAGTCATTGCAGGTCATGCTGACAACATTAGAAGCAATGAATGATTACAATTATGAGGTCATGTAGCTGTCTCTAATACAGTGTAAATGTCAGTAAAGGATAATGTGAATGTGCTTGATAAATGACATCTAAATTACATCAATAATCTGCAAAAGGCCAACAAGCCCATTTAAAGCAGATATACAGTTTAACAGTGATAGAATTTGAATAGAATACAATATAAACCTAACATTTAAAGAAATAGATCTATGGTTTACAACTGATTTTAAAATTGAAAGGAAACTCCCTGGTTGGCCATGTACCCCCCTAGGAAGTCCTTTTTAGTTCCCTGGAACGACTGTCAGGCTACCGCGACATGCTGTTGTTTTGGATGTCTTGTTTCGCATGGGCCATAACTTTGCAATCAGTTAATGTTAGAGCATTTTGATAATGCTATACTTCTCATACTCTTTTTGTATAAGCCAGTAATAGTAGCACGCAATCATGTTAGCATAAATTTATTTCCATTTTGGTATAATAAGTCTTCATCTACCACATACTGACTGAGAAACCTAAAACTTTCAGCTTGACTTGATAATTGATATTTAAAAGTCTGGTGATTAACAGAGTCATCATAAAAGCTCAAGGGCTGTAAAAAGTAAGCTGCCAAGTAAGTTAATGCTTTATATTGCTTATTTATATTCATACAATCCGATAAGCCTGCAGATTAGCATTCTAATAATACCAATAGTAATGAAAATTGGGCACAAAATGCAGTAGATTATTTGGAGGGTCAAAGGCCTTTCGAGTAAGGCTCCCTTTGTCATCAGTCAGATCTAATATCATCAATCAGATGTCATATTATCAATCAGGCTTTTTCAAGTTTGCCATTGATTATATCCTTTGCGAACATTGATCTAACATGATTGGATTGTCTGTTAGCAATCAGTTTTGGAAGATAATTCTACAGAGCCTAATCTCATAAATGACATATTCCCATATGGAAAGAAAAATCTCATCTCTCAATGATACCGTTGTTGTGAACTCCATGTGAGAAAGTCAATGAGAAGAAACAGACAAATGAGAAGCAAATGGTTGAACTATGCTAACTGAATACTGAAGTCAGCCGGGATGGAAATGGCTACTAATAAATCGCTATGTACTATGTTAGGAAAACACTCGGCAAACCCAGTTTATTTTTAGAGATACTTATTACTAATGTCATGCGAAGAAGTGCTAAACATATAGACAGATACTCAGGTGTATATTTTACTGCATCAGGCATGATCAAGAATAATCTACTTCAACATAGATAGCAGATACTCATAAACTTTCTAGTTACCAGGAGATATCCTTGACAATACATAATGAATTAACAAATATAAAGCAGTGATATCCCCAGCATTAAAGCATTAGGGCGCAGCCACTGCACCTACCTGCGATTTTAAAAATAGGCTTGCATTGCACCCACTTGAAAATAAGAAAACCATGAAAAATAGGCATATTCTGACCAATTTTGGTTTGAATTGTGAAAATGAGAATTTTGCACCCACTTGAGAAAAAATCCTGTGGAGAAACCTGTACAGTTAGCTCTTTGAATGATTACATTTTACACATACAAGTATACAATATTGAAGTACCAAATAATGAAGAACATAAAGATGTGAAAGACATATGGAATGTTTAATTCATACTTGATAATAGCTAGCTAAGGACGCTGGCATTCTAATCTGATATCTACTGCATAGTACTATTACAGTCTAGTAGAGCAGTTTGTATTGCTGCTGTTTACCTTGTAACTTTTACTATTATCATCACTTATCAGTTGAGTTACATGATATGTAAGCATAAAATTAATTACTTACTTAATTAAAGAGAGAATCAGAGATAGTGAGCAGGCTAAACAAAAAATTGTTTCAATTTTAGAATATTTTTGGCTCATGTCATTCTTTGTCATGTCTATTTTCTAAAAATCACAAAAGTGCATACTTTATTCAAGGAAAATGAAAGATTTTTACAATAATGTATTATTTTTCTATAAGAATGGTTACCATTCTTATTCTTTGGGAGAATTTAAACATTTTTCACCCATTTTTGCACTTTGAATCATTAATAACTTCACCAATTTATAACATATTGTGAATCTTTTGGGAGATATTGTATTTGATATTGTAAGGAATAGATTGGTAGGTCAATTATGCACGTTGCTTGTAATTTTGTCACCCCCTATAGATCTGATTCTGCCTTTAATGAGGTGTATGTACTTGGATACAACTGACTTATCTGCGAATATGGGAAAATACATAGGAATAGACTAATTTAAATATAAATTTAATGATAATTTAATACTAATATCATATAAATTCTCCAGCTTTCAAAAAGTTCATTTACCAAGGCACGTCATATATTTTTCTTTCATATAAAAATAAATATGTTATAAGCACTGCCACTTATCGTGCCAAAAAAGCTTTTTGGTTAAAACTGACATGTAAAACAATACATGTATATTGGAATCCTGTAGGTTTCCCAAAGTCATCAATGTCACACAATAACCTTCCATACTTCTATTAGAAAAAGCAGTGCTTGGAGGCGTGCTCATTGTCAAAAGTTTTGTTGAGGTCATACAGACTAGTATCATGTTATTTCACCCAGTAATTAGTAACATAAGTTACTGGATACTTGCCCATATATGCCAAATAAAAATAACTAGAAAAAAGTAATTTGTCAACCTTATATTTGTGCTGCGTTATAAAAAATCACATCTTGAGCAATCTTCTAGGCTCATTTACTATTTAGCTATCAAGTTAGTTCTTAGAAATGCAAGTACATGTGCTGACTATTTTATTACATTGAAGTATGATTAGATTTCCTTTACCAGTATGATACATTGTACATGTATATCAAAATATTGATCAGAGTGAAGCTCTAGAATTTTTTGTAAATGGATATGTTAGTTTGTAGATATAACCCTACTATCACACCAAACTAGTTCTCACTACGTTCTCGAAAACGGGCTTCAACTGTGTACGAACGAACTGGACCTACTAAGAACCGTTTGGGATCTATTTACAAACTTCATCGAACGTACTCGAACGGGTAGGTCCTCAAGAACTTAGACAATGCTCAAAATGTTCTCGTGGTCGCCACGTTCTACAATTAGAACGAGTGACAACGTACTAACGACGAGCTGGACGTACTACGAACGGAACCGTCGTACTTCAATCCTACTAGGGACGTTTTAACAACGAGTTGAACTGTCTGAGGACGTGTTGAGAACGAGGTAGAACTAATTGCAAACGGGTTTAAACTGATTAAGAACGTATTTAACACTGCTTATGAACGAGTTAACAAAAATATAGCTATCACACCAAACAAGTTGCCACTGCGTTCTTCAAAACTGGTTTTAAACTGTGTGCGAACGGAATGAACGTAGCTGCAACTTTCTAAGGTCTATTTACGAACTTGATGAACGTTCTCAGACGGGAATGTGATTTTAGAATTTTGAATCGATTCAAAATTCGATGGCGACCATACCATTCTGTAATCAGGTCATGTTGACATTCTAGACTAAGGGACGCGTTCTACTACGTTGCACACCGACGTGGTGCGACCTGAACGAACTGCGAACGAGATGGACGTATTGAAGACTGTTTAAGAACGAAGAAGCTAATTATTTCAGACAAATTTCCCGACCACAGCCAGATTGAGCCCGTTTTACGACGTTTTCGTAGGACTGGCAAGAACGGGTAAGAACTAGTTTGGTGTGATAGGGGGGTAAAGTGTGAGTATGCCACAACTTGAATTATATTCTTGCTGTTAACATGTCTCATAATCTGTAACCATACAAAGTGGACTGCCAAAAGTGCAACCCTCTTTTTTTTAGATAACTTGTATTCTGATAAAACCCTCTTGGTCTTTCAATAGAGCAAACTGTGATAAACTCTTTGGGGGGCCCCTCTTTGGCATCTTAAGTTTTAAATAAAATGATGTTTGGTCTTTGAATGCTCTTATATTGAATTGATTAAATCATGGTGAGATCAATATTTGAATTGACTCAGTAACAAAGTTAGATTAGAACTGTTTAGATTTGAACCTCAGAAAGGTAGAAATTCATGTTAAATTTTGTTTCTTTCTAGTTTCTTTATTTCAAAGGTTTGTATATTATACCAAAATAGTTCTCAGGAGCATCAACTAATATTTTCAATCCTTTAACTAACTAAATTTAACGTAAATGTATTAAAATCTAGAGTATTTGTCAAGTGTCGTTATTTAGATGCAGATGGTAAACAATAAATGTTAAGTAGTATTTGTTTTAAGTATTTTTTGGAAACAAATGGGAAGTTCACTTATTTCGACCTGTAGATGTTGTGGTTTTAAACGAGTCATTTTTTTACATTTGGTGCAGACATCATAAGAAATATATGCTAAGAGTATCTTTGGAGGATGTAAAATGACTTATCATACCAAATATGGTTAAATGTTTGCCAGTATGTTGACATATCCTTATTTGACTAAAGCGATGTGAGTTAAAATGTAGTTTAGCTGATTTAAGGATATATGAGTGGAATAACTAAAACTCAAATCTACCAGATGAAAATTCATAGTGACAGTCATATAAGTATCCATATGTACCAAGTAAGTTTAGAAATTATGAAACATTAGAATATTTGGACCAGTTTCAGAGATATCTTTGACACTGTAAGACATGTTTCTTATTACTGTTTTCATACATGTGGTTTTAACATTCATAATTCCATAACATTTAATGTCAGATTCACCATTTCAAAATATTATTCATTGATATGCTTTTTTAACAGTGGCACACTGCTCTTAGGTGTGTCAGTATCAGCAGAGATTTTGATATTCAAGAATTTTGTTTAATATTAGAGGTCCTTGCATGAGTACCTGTCTAAGATCATCCATTTTTGACGAGCTTTGATTATTTATTTTCTTTAATCAAGTCAGTGTGACCTTTTTGATAAAAGATGGTTTCATCTTATGGGGTAATTAATCTGAGTTCTGATTCTGATTCTGAATTGCAAAACATTATCTTTTTATGAAGAAACTCCTCAAAATTCACTTTGGATACTCCAAATCCCCCAGTGGTTACTCAGTAGTAATTGAAGTAGAGCAGAATGTGTGTAAAGGTGAACTTGAACTGTTGAAACCAATGAACACGATTGCTAGAGATTGCCATACACAATTACATGAGGGACTCTTGACTTGCTATCTACAGTTCTATTGCCAGAACAAAGTGCTTTTTACAGATGTAAGGAATCACAGTGAGAGAAATTACAAAAGTCTAAATTGTAAATCGATAGACTAAATAAAACCACTGATTATTGTGATAGTGGTGTTTTCTATATCTGTTGAAATACAAGGTTGTAATTATAAAATAGGCTCACTGATTACTTCCCTGCTTATCTACCTCTTTATACATGTTATTTATCTGCTAAGGTGTATGATTCCTCTGTTTTGAACATCTAAGAATCAAGTTCTCTAGGCCTTCATAAGGCACCATCCTCTTCTATATCTATTACAAGATGTATTCATAAAAATGTTGAAGAGCCTGATCAATGTTTATTTGTGTACATTGATACTGCAGTTTACATGAAATGTAACCACCACCAGATGCCAGCGTTCCAGCATGACTCAGTCAACATTGATGCTCTTTTGGAAATGTTATTTGGGTGGAGGTTTGGGAACGTCCATACAAGGTTCATCACCATTTTGATACTCCTGATACTTTTGGTATACTTTTCTGTTTTCAGACTAGAGTGAAACATTTATATCAGAACACCTCTCCAATCCAAACACATCTCAATGTGAATGTTTTTTCTCTGTCCCAATTTTGTTATCTCCTATTGACTTGAAATATGAACACCTACTTATCTGAACACTCTTGGTCTGTATCAGTAGCATTTGGACATTTTTGAGACACCCTGTAACATATTAATCATGCATCAATTTTCTGGACCCCTTCCCCTATTTACTACATTGTGGAGTTTAGGGTGTGTATAGACTCATCAGTAATCAAAGTGTTCATTCTAATATTTTCATTCCCATGTTAATTGGATCCTTTGTAAAAGTTTGCCAGGGGTAACTGATGTCATCCTAATCATCAAAACTATATTTATTCGGTGTCGCTGTATATGTAAGGTGATATTCACCTTCACTAGTCTTCATTACCTAACCTCCCTTGTATCATTCACTTGTTATGGTGAGGACTGTTTCTTTAACAAAAGATATACCCTTTATTGTGATAGGTTTTCATCTTTTTTAAAAATGGCATTGGATGGAGGAAATAAAGTTTCAGACTGTCTGACTTTATACTGAAGAAGGTGCATTTGAATTTGGGGTAGGAGGGGAGCCCGGGGGTTCACTGTATATAAACCTTGACGGGGATCCTCGGCGCACATTGTGTACCTTTTTTGACATTTGGTATAATGGACCCACATTTTAGGATCAGGTATGAGAATGCCCCCAGAATTAGGACTTTTGAGAAATGGCAATTGGTCCAATTTTCAACTCTGGTATGAGCATTGTCTTGAAAAATATGTTACCTCACACTTGAGGTATGGCATTGGTCTAGTAGTTACATATACATGTATCTTTAATTTGAGATGGTTTTGAACAGTTTTTCTCAATGATCTACCCTCTTCCCGGGCCTTCTTCAGTTTGAATATTAGTTTTCTCCTGTGTGGTATTGGCATTGGTCATATATTTGGACATTTGGTATGGTATTGGTCTTATATTTAGACATTTGGGGTGGCTTTGGGTGTTATTTCTGTTGGTACTGGAACACACTGAAATTTGACAGATTGGTATGGGAACATATTGATTTCTGAGGGTTCAGCCTAGGACCCCGCCAAATTTTGAATACAGTGAACCAGTCCTGGGGAGGGGAGTTTGTTTCATGTACATCTTGAGGGTCAAACCAACAAGTAGATACACTATAATTATACAAAACATGTATGGCATGTTTGTGCTACCAACATGTTTTACATAAATCAGAACAGTAAGAGAACCAATATTAACATGCACATTGCTTTTTACTACTGTAACACAAACTGGTCTTGGCAGTCAACATTTTCTCTTAAGATATATGAGGTGAACTGATACATGTACACATATTTTTCTTTCAAGTACACACTTTTCTACTTCACTTTCATCCTACTATAACATTCAAAATGTACTTTGCCTATATCTTTGCAGGTTTCATATGATACAAAAATACAAGTATTTACCAGTGAGACTAGTGTTAACAAGACCTCCAGACTTCTATGTCTAAACAGTTGTTTACTGGTTAAAGCACTTCAGGTCAACAGTTCCTTCTCGCTATGCAAACATCAAATAATTTCTTTTTTCATTTGACAAACCTATAATGTAGGATGTTTTGTTGTTGTTTATTAAATGATAAATCAAAGTTGTTATTCACTTTTATATACTCACAGTAGGGAGTATAGGCGAGCTTTAATTTAAACTAATTCAGCATTTCAATTTAGATATCATATGATCTGATTTGATTTGATTTAGTTGATTCAATTATAAGTGATGCATAAGTGATATGTACATGTATTATTTTATGATGTCTCTATTATCAAAAATGTTGTTTCATTCAGGTGAAAATCTTTCTACCCAGTAGTTGACATACTCAAAAATTGGGTTTGGACATTTGTATTTGTGCGTGTCAAATTGGAGATGTAGCTCAAGATCTTGAATACAGGAGAGAACAGTGAATGTATTATTTTATTTCTTTGATATTGTTTTCGCTGATTATTGATCATAAAGATGGAGTGATCATATGCTTCTCTTTTCTGAGCATAATATCCAATAGAATCTTGGTTAACTGATTGCTTTAATTTTCACTGCTATCTTGGGTTCTAAGATTTTCTGGTGTTTTTAATTTTCATGGATTGGTTGTGCTTTGGTAGTAATGTTGTCTTGCAGAAATTTACCCCCCCACCCCTTCTGCCTGTCTACTTCACCTCCTTGTAGAGGTAGATCTTTGGGATATGGAGAGGGGGGGGGGTAATTGGCTTAATAAAAGATTAGTAGTAATATAAGGTTTACATGTTTTATAAAAGGTTTATAGCAGTATAAATATAACAAGTTAAATGCATATATGCTACATATAAAAAGGCAGCTGTGGTATTGGAGTATGCTTACAGATGTTGACAGATGGATTAAACGATTTTTCTTGATATATAAGCAAATAAAAAATGACAATATTATTTCATCATACATTCACTTAACATGATAGAATATAAGATTCCTGATCCACCAAGTTCTTTTATTTGACCTTAAAGGGCAAAATTTAAGAACATGATAAACACGGGATGAAACGTGCATGGGGGGGGGGTCAAAAATCTGTTAGGGATAGTCTTCACTATTTTTTCATCATTCTTTGTTTTAATGATTTTTTAACTCTTTATATAAATTTGGTTAATCAATGATCTATAACCACTTATATCTGAGACATCAGCATATGTTCGTTTTTTGGGGGGGGGTGAAACACTCTGTAATATGAACATTTGCCACACTTAACTAGTAGTTATAGTGCCATATTATGTTAAACATATGAGTCATAGAGTTATCTGCTAAGGTCCTATCATAAAAATAACCTAAAAGTCATAAATAACATACCATTACAATAGACAAAACATACACTATTGACATTTTCGTTTGGATCATTTTTTGCAAATTTTCTCATAATTAGACATTATGCAAATGATTTCTGTTAAGTTTTGTAAGTTTTTATGTGCCGACTGACTTAACTAACATCAAATGTAAGTTAAGGAGTTGAAAGTTCCAATTTATTTCATCTTTAGTGGCCCTTATATACAGGGAATAAATCAGTTTAAATAATGTAAGTTCTGTAAGAGTTCATGTGAATATTGCACATAGGAATATATAGCAGATAAGTCAGTTGACTTTTGCGAGATCATTTTACTCATAAATGTTTGCATACATCTTCAATAACAGTGTAGAGACATAAATATATGCAATAGTGATAGCGCTTTCCACATTGTCCTAACGTATTCTTATTGAGAGTTATCGGTATCTTTGAATAGGTCTGATAAAGGGGAGTATGAGGAAGGAGACAGTCAAACTCCTTCAAGAATCATTGGTTGAACTTGACTCAAAAAATATTTTCATATATCTTTAACAAAAATGATGATGAATATTTCCTTTTCCAGAATAACAAGTGAACCAAAGATATCAACATGCAGGCAGTACCCCCAGATTTCAACCCCCAGCCCCTCCCCCCACAATCCAGACCCCCATGTGAGCCTCCAAAGTTCCTAAAGAGACAAGTATATAGTGACACAGCCGTCTTCAAACATTTGGATGACCATGCTATCTTGGTAAGTCTGTTAAAACCTTATTAGAATTTATTTGTTGTCTGAAGACACCCACTTGATCGACATCAATTATGAAGTCTTCAACAGAAAACTGATGTCATTTTACATACGCCCTTTGATACGCTCAAGTGTTCTTATCTTGTAAAGAAGACTAATTGAAATGCCTCATGTTTTGACAACAATAATGTGCTAGTTTGTGTTCATTTTCTGAGATATTGATGTGAAAATATGAATTTCCTCCACTTATTACCTTTCTTACTTAGGTAGATCTGCATCTTGAGAATTATACATAATTTTCAAGCTTATAACTATCAATAATTAAAGAAATTGCTTAAAGTAAGGAACTACCTTAACAAATCTACTTAATTTATGGCATGTGCATCAACATCTTGTGACAATGACATATTATGTATTTTTCTGATTACATTTTGCAAACAATATCACATGGGACTCAATTATTCCACAAGATCATTGGTATTATTTGGTCAATCGCATATTGTTATCTATTGAATCATTCAATTTAATCTCACATGAATATTGGGAATATTGCAGAAAATCTAAAATATAAACTCGGTTCGGAGATGGACTTTTGCTGTGTAATCCTGATTTTATGATTCAGTCTGGTTATATTAACGGAATGTTTGTGAGATTTGTATGCCCAGATCCTATGATTAATATAGCAAGTATCAGATGCATTTGACCTTTGGTTGGATATATGGAATATTTCTGAATTTTATGTTTACCATGGTATTGATTGACCTCCCTTTCATGTTTTTATACCATTTGAAAATACTCCAGTAAATTGCTGTTGTACATGAAGGGATGCTAGATAGGTTATCAGTAAAGTGCATGCATTGATTGTGTAAATACATGTATCATGAATGTCTCTATCAGATTTATTTTCATAGTCAGCAATTACATTCAATCTGGAGTAACCCTGAGCGCAGAGTCTAGTTAAGAACAAAGGTCTTTTTTAAGAAATGAGGTCAAACTGAAATGGTAAGCTGAAAGGGCATGGGGACATTCCTATTTATAAAGGAGAACTCTCAGCTCATTTTTCCCATAGGAAAACCATCTTTTCAGGTGTCCGTAAATAATTTCTGCAAAATCTGTACTTTTAGATTTGTTACACAAGGTGATTTAACTAATTAGTGATTTAGCTAAAATTAGAACCATAACTAATGCAATCCAACCATCATGATAAACCATGACATCTCATTTCTTCTCATCCCTGATATGTTTCATGGTGAACAGAAAGATGCTATGAGTATCAGAATGCAATCCAACTGCAACTGAGCTATGTGGTACTGAACTAACAAGCTATGAGCAAAGAAAATCTTTTGTAATCTTAAAATTTTACATGGAGTAATTTAAGAAGAACTGTTTAGATAAAAATGTTTTAATAAGCATCAGCTAAGATGTATTTTCTCAGGTAGAAGAATTAATAATTGATGTTGGAATCTGCTCTTTTGAGGGCAAATGTCCGATGGGATTAATAGCGAAATGTATTTTTGAAGTTTGAAGAATTAATACTCATCTATATTACTTTATATATTTTTAGAAACCTTTTACCTTTATATTTACCCTTTATATACCTTATACCATAATTGACCCCTGAACCATTTAGTCCAAGAGAGTAACATGTTTATGTTTGAGCTATCAAGTAATCTTGAGCAGTGCTCATTGCAGTCGATTTAATAGTTGTGTAATCATTTCAGGTGGAAGCCTGCTGTAAATCATTCGCTTGTAAATTGCAGATTAACTTTGGCCAAAACATGGACTGCAATCATTTAAAAATATTATGACTGGAAAATCTTCCAGTTATTGCTTTAGTCTGATAAGCTGAGGTTGAAATGATGGAATGTATTGCATTTCTTTGACAGAATGTCATAAAAACTCTGGTTATTGCTAATACTGTCATAAAATGAGTCTGGAGTTATGGGGACTATTTAATGTGTTTTTTCGACAGAATGTCTTAAAATGACATAAAAGAACAGTAAGTGATTCTGTATTTCTCCCAATGTTAGTTTCTTGATATATCTTTGCAGTCTGCAAATGTATTTCAGATGGTTACTTGTATTAATTCATTTACATCAGCTGTCTGCTTGTGTTCTCCCTTCTACCCTTTGCAAGTCAGTCATCTTATATTACTCTTTATAGAACCAATGAACCTCTTTCCTTATTGAACCAATCAGAACCTATTCATTTTCAAATATGCTTCTCTATATAAGAAAACATATTAATAGGAATCAGTTTTTTTCTCCTCGTTTCTCAATGTTAGAGCGTAGAGGATTATCCATTAGCTGATAAGCTGAGGGTATTTTTACCAGACATATTTAGAGTTTTGCATTCCAAGGAAACATCATATTACTGCCTTAACTCTGCCCTCGTAGACAGACTGATATATGCCGAGTGCAAACCTTGCGATCTTTTAAGTAGGCTGTCTGTATCAGTAGTTGCAAATTTAGAAAGTGGCATAGAGAGGACATGTACTCCACTAAAATTATAGAATCTTTTGATTTACAAATACACATTCAATTTTTTGAATTAATTCAAAGTCTGATTTTTGTCCTGTGTGCTATTCTTACAGCGGCCATACCTTATTCAAAAACCGAGACCCACCCTTGATCTTAACTCTGTCTACAGTTCCATCTTAATGCATCTCTGATGAAGCTAATAATATAGATTAATTAATGTCACAACCAAATTGTTTCTTGATAAGTTTGACCTTAAATATCTCAATTAATTGATAAGACATTTATTTATAGTATTCTCACCAGAATTTTTTCTAAACCGCTGGGTTAAGATGAATCTGTAAAACAACTTATGTATTTCAAAGCATCAATTTTTTGTTAATTATAACAAAACACTAGATGCTTTTGACGATTTTTTATTAGAGTATTATGATCAGTTACACTTACTAGCCTAAAATCTATGAGAAAAATTCCTGGCAAGAATCTCCAATGAATCACATCAGCATTGGATTGATAAGATTCATCATATCCTGATTTCCAAAATGAATTCCAAATGTCCAACATTGTGCCCAAGACATAGAAGGTACTTTCTTATTGGTATCTTGATTTCATATACTTCTCCAATGTTTTGTATCTACATGTTAGTGTAGATACATGTTGATATAGAAAATACTTTCAAATGGCAATATTAAATCATAAATTGAAGAAGCATTGTGATTTATCCGTCACCTGTTTAGAATGTTTTACATAAAGGAAGATTGATAAATTCTACAAGTGACTTTCTAACTTAGAAAATATTTGGCGCCATGTCATCAGACTTGGTAGAAATATAATACTGGAAATTAAATGTAATATCACCGGAGGCTGATTCAGTTGTGAATTTTAATATAATTCAAGTCTTTTTACTTCACTTGGTATTTTACCCATAATATATTTAACAAGCTGTTGTGGTATTTCCAGGTTGCCTCAAGAACCCAGGGCAATTTCAGAGAGCTGATCTGGGAATTGGCTTATTGCAAACAATTTGCTGACCTAGAAAAAGCCAGGTGAGTAAAATGATACACTAAATATTTCAGTATTATTTTCAAAAATGTTAAAAACTTCACAAGGAAAGTACCATGAAACACCTCTAGAAGTGGAATATCTTTGTAAGTGGAAAACTTCAGAGAACTGACTTGATGTTTAAAGAACATACATGTAGAAACACCTTCCAAATGGAACATTTTTATTAGAGGTACCAAAGGTGATCCACTTACTGTAGACAGATCTATGTATTTTGGTATGCATGTACTCTTTTAGCCTTGCCCAAGTCGGTCTCTTTTACTTATCTTGATTTCTATTATGACCGCCTTGTACCAAAGAGAAAGCCATGTGCTTTACCGACAGTTTGTTGATGTCGGTAAAATTTGACCAATCTACGACGGCCCTGTAGCGTTAGCTCATTGTTATGCACGAAATACACTTTTCACGAACAAATCTTGCACGAATCTGAGCACGAATTCATCATGAAAATACAAATATTTTATCAGATAAATATCAATGAAAGTTTAGTGGATGCCGGGGCATTGATCGGATAACCAAAGGTGAGAAGATTTCAACAGTAAACGTTGAAACGATCGCTGAACATGTAGGCTGAGATTCAATCACCGATCGACGACAACATGACCTGCTACATTGGACTAGGTCTATTCATGCATTTTCATCGAGAAATCAGTTTTAAATCAAAATTGAATCGCATGATTTAATTTATATTAATGACTCTTACCTTCCAATGTACATTTAATTACTGTTATATTGTAACTCTAACAAAACACTCGAGCAGACCATTGAATTTCAAGTCGTAGATGGGAAGTTTGTTTTGTTTATGCAGCTCAACCTGATAACGTTTTGATTGGTCACTCAGCCTGAAGTCACACGTCGTGTCCACGCGATTCTGTCGATCAATAAGGTTTCGCGATACCCCTGATAGCGTAGGTATTATGGAAATCTCGAAACCGTTGAATATTTCAGCATAATAACAGCGGAGATGTATTGGATTGTACAAGGTGGTAATAATTCAAGATCAGATAAGTAAAAAAATACCGACTTGGGCAAGGCTAGTACTCTTTATGAAAAACAAAAAAAATACACATGTTTGTAAGTTGTATTAAAGACAATGCAACAAGGTTGATTGAAGTAACTCTCATTTATGTTTTATGTAGAGTGATATTCCGATGGATGACAGCCAAGAACATGTACACAGTGGCCTTCAGGGAGGAACTAGCAGGCTCTCCCGAGGAAGTATTATGTGCCTTCAAGAACAAACGTGGGACCTACGCTAGAATATTTGAAACATTATGCAGGTAAATAAGCTCTCGCAGCTTTCTATTGTTTAAACTGGTGGATCACCATCTCTTCAGTGAATGCCATGCCCCTCCCATCAAAAAATTAGAGATTTTACCTATAGGCCTAAAAATGTATGACATCATTTTTGAGAAAATGGATGTCACTTAGAAAAACAGGGCTTAAAATGGGCCACTTTTCAACTTCCAATTCGATCCCTTGTATATAAAGCATGTATTAATGCTATGTTTGGAAGCTGCAAATATCAGTTACACATCATATATATAGTGAATACCTCAAAAACATTTTAGATGTCCTATTGACTCCTTTGCCAATCAGATTCTTTCTTAAATACCCAGTCTGATCAAAATTAATTTTAGATGGCTTTAAGATCACTGAATAATAGCCATCTTTGTACTGATATTGTCTTCACATGTTACAGTTTTGCTGGACTCCCATGTGTTACATTGAGTGGGTATGCTAAAGGAGTTGACTACAAGCCAGGAATGCGGTTCTCAGGTCAACCCCATAACCACAGCTGGAATGCAGTCTTTGTAAATGGAGCTTGGCAACTTGTTGACTGCCACTGGGCCACACGATACCTGGCCTCAGAACGTAATGTACCCGAGAACCTTGTGTATGAATACGATGATTTTTACTTCATGTCAGAGCCAGAACAGCTGAAGTACAGTCATTGGCCATCTGATAACAAGTGGCAGCTCCTTCGACAGCCACTCACGCTAACACAGTTTGAAGAGCTCCCTCTTGCCAAGTCTTTCTTCTTCAAGTGCGGCATGGATTTCCTTCAATGCACTAACGGGGTGCTTACTACTGAGAATGGACATACAACATTGGTCCTTGGATTCAACAAACCTCTCAGCTTCACATTTAAGCTACTCATTGGTAGGTCAACCTGAGCCCAATATAAGTTACTTGTCCCATTAGTATATTAAAAGGGCCTAGTCTCTCATTGATCCCACAATATTCCCCATTTAAAAATTATAACAGGCTGTAATGTGCATCATCAATAGATTTTGACTTTCACACAAATCTTTTTTCACCAAAGTTTAAGCCTTTCCTTGATTTTGTTAAAAAATCATACTTTATACATAAATTTTTCTGATTTTTCATTTAGTTGAGTTATGTGAATTTAAAATTATAATGTGACCAAGACATTAACATCTACATCCTGAAACTAATACTGATACATGATTTTAGTTTTCAAATGCAATAAACTTTCTTAATTATATTTTATTTATTAGGTGAGGCAATGGAGGATGACTACAGGGGCCACAAACTGAAGGTCTATGTGCTCCAGGAGACGCTAGAGAACCAGGTGAAGTTCCACATTAGGGCCCCCAAGGAGGGACCCTACTACATGACCCTCTACGCCCAGGAAGTGTCTGAGGAGTTGAACGTTGAGAATGTTTTCCGGGCAGCCTGTGAGTATAAAATTCAGTGTGACCGTGCTGCTCCTGATGCTATCCCTCTCCCTGTGTGTTCTGATACAAACTGGGGACCCGGTGCTCCTGTACGCCAGTATGGACTCATTCCATCGCACAAGGATGGTGTTATAACTGCTGTTAATGGACGTTGTGAGCTCAGATTCGCAAAGACACGTCGTGTCCGCCTGCTATGTAAACTCCAAAAAGAGGGCGTTGGTGAGGCAGCCTTGGAGAAATGTGTAACGGAACAGGAAGTTGACAACCAATCCATCGTAACAGTGAACCTCCCCAAGGCTGGTGAATATGGTCTGGAAATCTATGCTAATGATCCCGCTAAAGATGGAGACACCTTCACCCATATGTGTCAATATCTGGTACGCTATGATGACTCGACTGGGCCAGGACCATATGGGGCTAACTACTCACAGACAATGAGCTCCACCACAACTACCACCCAATATGGAGCTCCTGGTGTACAGGGCTACAACCAGTACCAAACTGACTCCACACAAATGACACAGGTAGGTCCATCCATATAACATGTACACGTAACTATATATTTTGTTTATACACTTGATATATGAGAAAATTATTTCTGTTTTATTCTAAATAAATGTTGTCACTTATTCTATTACAATTTTCACTTTATTGGACCATGAGGAAGTTCTGCTGCTTGTTGTGTGCTCTTGCCCTTGGACCTTTGTGGCAAATTTACAACTTTTTCATGGGTCAATAACTATTGTAAGATGTTGTAAAACTGTTTGTGATGTGACATTTTTAGAAAGGACTCATGGGACCAGATCAGTCTCTGGTCTATACACCAGGGGGCTCTAACTATGCCCCACCCGGAGCTCAGCTTTCTTCCCCAGCTCCAGGTGCCCAACAATATCAATCTGGTGCCCAACAATATCAAGCAGGGGTTGCCCCAGGTCAACTTGGGGCCCAGTATGGCCCAGGTAGTACTTCAGCTGGGCCTGCTGGCAGTTTGCAGCCAAAGGCAGATGTCACCCAGCAGTACAGCCCTGGGGGTCAACAGTACCAACCTGGAGTTGCCCCTGGCCAAATTGGGGCCCAGTATGGCCCAGGTAGTACTTCAGCTGGTCCTGCTGGTAGTTTGCAACCAAAGGCAGATGTCACCCAGCAGTACAGCCCTGGGGGTCAACAGTACCAACCCGGAGTTGCCCCTGGCCAACTTGGGGCCCAATATGGCCCAGGTAGTACTTCAGCTGGTCCTCCTGGCAGTTTGCAACCAAAGGCAGATGTCACCCAGCAGTACAGTCCTGGGGGTCAACAGTACCAACCTGGAGTTGCCCCTGGTCAGATTGGGGTACAGTACAGCCAAGGCAATGCCCCAGCTGGTACTGCAGGTAGCATGCAGCCCCAGGCGTCTGTTACCCAGCAATATGGCTCTGGGGGCCAACAGTATCAACCGGGGGTTACCCCAGGTCAGCTAGGTAACTCTTACAGTCAAGGTAGTGCCCAAGCTGGCCCAGAGGGTCAACTCAAATCAGCTCCTGCTAAGTCTCCAAAGGGGGGGAAGAAATCCCTATTTGATGATGATGACGATGAAACCAATGTTGGTGTGCAAATAAGCTATGTGAGTGGGTCACCCTTTGCCAAAATAGGTGACAGTGATGCACCTGGGGGTAGTAAAGTGGCACCTGGGGGTAAGAAGAATGGACCGGGTGGGCAGATTACAGAGACGACTGAGGTAAAGTTTCTAGGAGCATAAAGCTGCATACATATATAGACGCTCCCCGCTTAATGGTATAAGGGTCAGCTTTACAAATAGCCAATCTATTGGGCTATATGGCTATCTAATGCTAGCATATTAATTACAATATCTTGATTTTGAATAATTTGAATTACAATAGGACAATCATTACAAATAACAGGAATCATTGGCTTTTTTAATTAATATATCTTTACTTTGAACTATATGTAATTACAATAAGACAATACTGTAATTACTAACACAAATCATTGACTTTCTTGAAATTCTTCTTAAGTAATCTCTGCACCTGTATATCAAGATTATTAAGATTATGATGGGTAAAGGTGATACTTAATCACAATAGGCACTTAATTAGAAGATTATATCTACTGCTGCTTGTTAAAAGAATAAGAAGGGATAGAGACTAGAGATTGTAACATGTTGAAACCAATTTTTTCAAATATTATTTTAGTTATTAAAGATTTAATATACAGAAATGTCCAAATTCATTAGAATTGAAAAAGTGGACATCTCCCTTTTCAATAGTTTTGCCATATAATCTTAAAATCAGAGGAGTATCATGAAATAAAGTCAAAATTGTTGGACTTTTTAGCCAAAAGGCATGATTATGCATCTGCTGAGAACAAAAATAACTAAATTGTGACAATTTTTAAAACTTACTCTCAATTCTTCTCAAACCCCTTTCTTCCTTTTAATTAAGATTTTCACAGAGGAACACTTAGCGTACAATAGCCCATAGTTTTCAATCCTATGTATTCAGTAACCCATGTCAATTTGGAATATGATCATTTAATTGTCTCTTTTAATTAACTCTCTCGAGAACTCCATGATCAAATATTTATTTGTGTATAATAAAAGTGACATAAGAAGTTCATTCTCTATATGTTTTTATACGCTCATAAGCATTTGTGATATTGACTCATTCGCTCTGCGCACTATGTAATACCAGAAGATCCTTAGTACTGGTTAGTATCCAAATTCCAAATTATTAAGGGGACATAGTACAAATGCAAAAATAAGATGACATAAATCTTGGATACTACAGTGACGAGGTGATTGCTTAGGTGGCAAATAATGTGTTTGTTCATGGCAGTAGGGAAAATACGATAAAAGTGACAGAGAAAATAATTGAATGAGATGACATAATTGATTAATGAGCTGGTGTGATTGCCGCTGCACAGATGTTGGGAGATGAAGCATAATGTGCTGGAAATAAAACAAGCACTCTACTGACAAATTAATTTCCCAAATAACTATACTATATGCAGTTCAGAGACTTAAACAGCATGGCTTGATCTCGCTTTATTCTTTGCTGTTCAATTTTTGATATCCCCACTGAGATCATTGATATTGATTTTCATTTTTAAAAATGGGCCTTTTGAAAAATATATGCCTCAATTTTAGAAAATGGGCTTTTCAGTTTCAAGATCTGCCTCTGAAATGTGGAACATTAGCTTGGACATGTTAGATAGAAAAACACAATTGAAAATGACCAGTACATGTTTGATTGCAATTAATCTTTCCATGCACTGCTTAAAAATTAATTGTTTGTTGATGGAATTAAAATAATGATGCATAAAGTACTGGAAGGCTTTTAACAATTAATTGTAATGTGCTTCTAACAGTATTGGGAATATAACACATGCTTGTATTTGTAAAATATTATTTGGAATAATATTCTAGTTAAATAAGAATCATTAATTATAGATTAAGTTATAATTTAACATAAACATATTTGTTAAGGTTCACTAACTTGATTTAAGTTCTTGTTTTCTAACCACACACTTATAGTTGTTTTTCTTCTTCACAGTTTATTATTAAGGCATGTATTGTGTGCATTTTCTTGTTTCATTACTACTAGTATATGAATTGTCATATCATTTTTTACTTTCAGCCATTTTGTTCCTTCCAGATTGGCTTCTGTCAGCTGTGCAGACAATATTAATTTTCAAACAGTGATATCTGTGAGGATCTTTATTACCCTTTATTGTTGGAGACTCAGTGTTTATTTGCATGCATTTTGTAGGTAACAACAAGAATGACTGATGTGACACTCTCTGGGCCAGGAAGCAAAAGTGCCCCACAGACTGCCCCTAAGCCAGGGAAGGGGAGGGGCCCCCAGGGAAGAGGATATGGTCAGGAGGAAGACCTGCCACCCCCACCCCCAGAACTTGCTGGCCAGGACATGCAATATCAATCTGCACCAGGTATGTCAGGCACAATGAAGTTTAACACAGTCCTTGTAGCATTTATATTATTGCTGTTATTCAGTCAACCTGGATAAAAGTCGATTTAATGCTGTTTGTTATATTGCATTCATCAAAGAAGGCTGTTCATCAAGTAAAACCTCAAATAGTTTTGCTAAAGTACAGTGCCTTCCCTGGAGCATGTATTAATAATCAGTACATTGATGTTACTTGTTTTCTCACAATGCCATTTTTGGACTCAATATTATATATTTTACAATATTATGTATCTACCAATGTTCACTTTTATGAACTAATTTAACAATCAATTATTTTATATTTTTGTAACCCTTCTATGAAATCCTGATTTTGATATCACATCAAAAGTCCAGACAGATGGATGTGTGTAAATACACTCTGGGTGTTCACTCTGCATTTGTTAGTTTGATTACAAGATTTCAATTTTCTCTAATGAATATTCTTCAAATCTCTGATATTCCGTTCCAAAAGAATCGATTGTGTGCTTTTGATAATATGCTAATTTAAAGCTTTATAATATTATAACAAACATAAAGAATCTAGAGAATGTTCAATGTTTGTTTCTACAGGATACAGAGGAGGACCAGCAGGTGATCTACCTCCCCCTCCCCCAGGTCAGGCTGGCCAGGGACCATACGGCACACAGCGTGCTCCTGGACAGGAGGATTTCCCACCACCCCCTCCCCCAGATGGCACAGACTCTGGAGTACAGATTCAGGTGAAAAGGGCTCATCCCAAAAGCAACCAGGCAGAGCCAGGTACTGGGGCAACATTGCTAAGAGCTAAAGGCCAACCAGCAGAGGAATCTCCCGGAGCGACACAGCACATACCAATACAGGTACTTACACTCAAAACATACCAAAATGTGTAATTTCACTCAAAACATACCTATACAAGTAATTACGCTCAAAACATACCTATACAGGCAATATATACTCAAAACATGCCTATATAGTACTAGGTACTTAACCACTCAAAACATACCAAAATGGGTAATTTCACTCAAAACATACCTATACAAGTAATAACACTCAAAACTTACCTATATAGGCAATATATACTCAAAACATGCCTATATAGGTACTTAACTGCTCAAAACATACCAAAATGGGTAATCTCACTCAAAACATACCTATACAAGTAATTACACTCAAAACATACCTATACAGGCAATAATTCAAAACATGCCTATATAGGTACTTACACTCAAAACATACCAAAATGGGTAATTTCACTCAAAGCATACATATACAAGTTATTGGTCTCAAAACATAACTAAACAGGTAATATACTGTATATAAATCAAGCCATCATTTTTTATAATACATGTATATTTTATTCACAGTATAGTGATTGTCCTAACATGAGATTCAGGATATGTCCTCTGAGGCCCTTTATATTGGCCATGGAATAATTTCAATATCATGAAACTGCTATAATTTCAATCCCATGCTCCTGTATGTTCTTTAGATTACAGAAGGCTTTTTCTGGGAATTTATGAAAAATAGTTTCCTGGCTTCTTAGGTATTGTAGTTTCTTTATAAAATACCAAATCTTCTTTTGTTCACCTTTGCATCATTCATGAACTTTTTATTATGCTGAGGCATAAAAGTGCATTCTGTCCATTGTTGAAAATGCAACATTTTGCAAACCTGCTTTATATGCAACAAACATGTCCGAGTATGAGACAAAATAAATAGCACCATGGGTACAAAAATACCACTGTTGAACCTTTGAAAGTCATTTTGGACTAAGGATTAAAAGTGTAACCTGGAACATTTACAGCCTCATAACTAGAAAGGACTAAAAACATTCAACCTATTATATACACTTACCTGCTTGTACAATTTATAACACGAAAAAGGATATTTTGACAATGAAGTGGTGGCCATTTTGAATCTTTGTTACATATTTTACGCTGCTTTTTCAGCAATACAAATGGTCACCTTTTTGAAACAAGGCAATCTTTTGAGACATCACTTCCAGGAAAATTGAAGGCTTTAAATACTCGAAATAAGCGAAATCATTAGAACTGTTGGGAAAATCCAGACCTTTTGGCAATAAAGAATCTTAGCTGCTATTTTGAAAGGAGGCAAGCTTTTGAGGCACCATTTTCGGGACAATTGAAAACTTTATATAGACAAATGTTAAAAGTGAAACCATTTCAATTGTTGTGGAGGATTTCAAATAAGCTACCAAAGTGTTGATAGATAGACAGACATTTGGACTGACAAGTGGATGATTACAATAGCTCACACCATGTGAGCTATTAAGTACAAAAACTACACAATTCAGAATTCCACATGCTACAAAGCATAGGCCTGCTTTACAATTAGGGTATTATGCATACAGGTAATGTATAAAAGAGGTAGTCCCCATCTGAAATATATGACTTTGATTGACAGGTCCAATCCCAAGTTAAGGCAGGGCAGCAGCCAGCTCCAGGTCAACCAGGCTATCAACAAGGAGCTCCAGGTCAATATGCTCCAGGCCAACAGGGAGCTCCAGGTCAGTATGCTCCTGGTCAACAAGGAGCTCCTGGGCAGTATGCTCCTGGTCAACAACAATATGCTCCAGGTCAACAAGTTGCTCCAGGCCAATATGCTCCAGGTCAACAAGTTGCTCCAGGCCAATATGCTCCAGGTCAACAAGTTGCTCCAGGTCAAAGTGCTGCAGGTGCTGCCCCTGGTGAGGAACAGCCCTATGGATCATATGGACAAGCACCTGATCAGTTCATGTCTACTCTGCCAACAAATGTAAGTTTTTATCTTGTGGCCATTTTAAAATTTAGGTGCAATACTTATCACTGTTTGTCTTGTTTATAACCCTACACATAATACAATTGATGAGCATTTGTTAATGCTTTTGAATGGATTAATTTTCAAGTGAGAATAAGGGTATTTTAGGTAAGACCAAAAATGTAATTATAAAGGACCAATGGTATAAAGTATCCGGGGCTGCATTGAGGTGTGAATTTATCAAAATAAGGAACAACTGAAATAGTTTTTCATCCTTGATTTTACAAACTGAATTTAGGTTGCATAAACTAAATTGACATAAGTCTGAAATAGAGGGTGAACTATTATTGTATTTATCAGTATAACCTGCCATCTGAGAGATTCATGTTTATCTACAATAATCTCATTGTCACTTCCACCCAGCGATTTGATTAAAACAAAGAATTAAGAGATATGCAATATAAACCCCATGACAAGCTGAACACGGCTTATCAACTCACATAAGCAACCGACCCTGAAGTCAATATAAAGATACATAGGGAAGATTAGTGCTTTTCCAGTTAAATGGCTCACGTTGATGATATGTATTTTCTGAAATGAGAAAAATTTGTGATTCCCTATATAAAAGATGAAATGATGGAGTGGGACGCTGGTAAAGAGTCAGAAAGGGAATAATTTCTGCAAATGGATTCAATTCTAGAAGGCATAGGAACATTTACTTACAAGGGCTCACAAGTATTTTCATAGAGAGTGGGGAGAATCCAACAACTGAGAAATACTAATTCATAGTCCAGGCCACAATTTGGATTTAATTAAGACAGAAAAAATGGCAAACTGTATAAGATTGTGATTTATTAGAGTTTGTGTCACTAGAATATTGATAGCCTGAAAGAATGACTCTTCATGGCATGAGTTATGAAAGGAAGTGATTTTGAAAAATCTGAATTGGAGAATGGATTAACAGATCTCAAAGTACATGCTGTGTCTTGCATCTGCAATTGGAAATCGGACAGAATAATCAATTCATAATAATTGGATGATATAAAACACAATTTATAATGTTTTGGTCAAAGTTGCGCTCTCTTGCTAAAAAAAAGAAAAGTGATAAACCCGAAGAAAATCTCGATCCACTTTGGGTAAATATTAATTTGTATTTATATCAAGTTCTATGCATTCACCCAATTAAAGGTATAATGTAAATATAAGTGATATGGATTTGCATTGTCTTTACAAATTCATAGTATACAAATATTTAATTCTATGAGTTGAATACCTGTGCATCTTTCACAAGTGATATTCCATGAAGCCCAAATGGCTAGTGAAATATCATCTTGTGAAAGTGTCACAGGTATTCATCAAAAATAGAATAACATATTTCTTTTATTATTCACTGTTATATTCCTCACTCACATTAATGGAATAACAAACTATTGATGTCTAATTAATCATCCCAGGTATATATAAGATTTAAATTACACTGGACTTAACGTGACTTCCGTTGAATATCACTTGTTTGTTTTTTTAGTCATGTGTAGGACATGGACCAATCAGAGAATGAGGAATATGACGGTGATATAATAATTCTGTTTATTTCTCTTTAAAAGGGGTGAAGAAATATTACATGTTCATCCACCTTGTTAAATATCCCACTGAATGAAGTTAGAAGGGATATAGAAAAGCCATCCACCCATGATATGGTCTGTCATGGGTGTGGGGTTTTGCCAAAAGGAGACATTGCAACTGCCTTATTATTTGTATCATGAGATATTCAATATGACAAGTGATTTGAAAAATATGATTTTTTATGATGGGATCTGCTACTTAAAGGGAAGTTGTTTTTGTAGTTGCAGTATTGTGAAATTATATGTGTTTCCTTAGTTAAAGTGTCATACAAATATTAGGACATTGTAATTCATCATTCCAGTCGTATTACTTTGCAACAATTGCATTATTGTATTATGATTATTGCATTATTGTACTATAAATTATTGCAGTATTGCATTAATGTGTTATTATTATTGCATAATTGTGTTTAAGGTGAAGTACAATGAGCGTATCCAGGTAGCCCAGGCTCCTGCAGAGTTCAAGGCTGTTCCAATACAAAAACAGCAGAAAGGACCACCCCCAAAACCTGCACCAAAACCAAATGTCAACCGCGGCAAGAGTTTCAGAGATGTAAAAGTCTTCAAACAGGTTGATAAGCACGCTTATGAGGTAAGCAGGAATAAATTATTTGATATCATTACAAACTATCTTTCATTAGTAGATCTTCGGTAAATGTCATTAGGAATAAAAGTTAATAGTTCTCCAATTGATAGCCTATTGACAATAGTATTGAAGACAAAGTGTAAAAAAGATATCTTCTTCATAGATAAAATATCATTATGGGATCATTATTTACGACCTCATTGATGTTCAGGCTTTTCGATTTGGAAAAATCACCTTGCAAAAGTATTGATATATTGCTCATAGTTGTAGCTTGCAGTATTTCATCGAGATTCCTCAAGGAATTGAAACATTTGGTGCAAATAAGGGATTGTCTCAGTTTGATACTAAATTCTGCAAGTTATTATTTGTTTACTGCTGTATCATCTTTACAATCCCTTTTTAATACAAAATATTTTTTTGGATAAAAGGAAAATTAAAAAAGGTTTCCCTCTTTTTGGTTCAAAAGACATCATTTTACCACCCACCTATTTAACAAAATTGATGATGTTTATCGTGCAAAATATATGAGACAGCCCCTAGGTTATTTGGAATTCAATTTGCTGATATCATCATTGTGTTGTGAAGTATAACGCATATACCATGATAAATATTGATAAGTAGATGTAGCCCTTATAATCAGGCAGAAATATTGACTTTATAGCATGATCTTGACTGAAGTTTCCCCCTTTACTTATAATAATGATCAGCTACTTTACTCTGGGGACATAAGACATATTTGTATGTCTTGCTTCATTAATAGTAATCTTACCTCTCAATATTTGCACTGTCCTCATCCCATCTATCATAGTTTGGATGATCATTTGCTCTACAAATATCCCCTTACCCTGTTGGGGATGGTTTTCGAATGTGTAGATATTAATATTAGGGATTAAAAGAGATGGGAGTTTGTATGGTATAATTCAACATTTACATGGTATATGAACATACAGAGATGTTACCAATTATAGCAATTTCTTGGCAGTTTTCTTCTCAGTATAAAGGACTTTAAGGAGAGGACCATGAAGTGATAATTTTAAAGCAGTGTAGACTGGTGTGATTTATTAGCTGTCAGGTGCACGTCGTGTGTCGGCCAATGGGTTAAGCTGCTTCATCGAGCAGCCACAGAATAAATGAGCTTCACAAAATTACTCCTTGGAGAAAATAAATAGATTGTTTCTATGCAGAATGTCCCATTTACTAAACAGTTACACACATTGCGTGGAAATGAAGGATAAATCAGAGCCATAAAGACAGGAGTTATTAGATGCGATTAGGAATAAACCTATTGCCCCTCATAAAATAAATCTATTATGCAATGAAGACTATTTGGATTTGTCTCCTGAATTAATTGACCTTAAGTTTTGCACGTAGTAGTCTTAATGTTAAGAAACAAAATTGTTCATTTTTATTTCAAATCCAAATCAACATTTTTGATGAAGTATATCAAGATTATTTCAACTGGCATCTAGTACATTCTCCTATTGAATCATTTGGGTGACTACTTGAACATTTGTAATTATTATTATTTGTAATTTGACCTACTTCTGCAATATGACCAACTTCTTGGATTAATTTGTTTGAAAGATTCATATGTTCAACATGCAAAACAAAAAACCTTCTGTATTCATGACTCAATTAACCAGTTTTATGTTTTGTTTAATTCATGAAGTGTCCCGTGCTCTAATCACGATACCATAACACTAGATTATTCATGCAATAAAGTCCTGTTAGTAAGAGATTTGATTGAAAAGTTCCTAGTTTTTGGCTGAAGACTGAAGGGTAACCATACCTGACTATTTTTAGGTTACACAAAAAGAACACAACAGTTTCAAAGACCTCATCTTCCATCTTATCTATGCCAGGAAGATCACAAATGAGTTAGAGAAAGTCAGGTAACTATAAGTGTTTTTGTTTTGTTTCCTTTTGTGTTTGTGCAGTGTGTATGAAGCCAATGAAGGATGAAATTAACATGTAAAATGTACATCAACATTAACACTCTTTTTAAAGAAAGATTTCAGAACAATGCATTAACTTACTTGATATTTGCTCTCAGATGAAATTAGGAATTGCCACTTGTCACCCATTGAGAAGTTTAATTGACTCCATGAAGGGTTAAGTGTTACACCTTGAAAATGGAACATGCCTGTTGTACATTATGATATGATACAGCTTTAGCTATAGCATGAGGTACTTGTCACATATGACATACTTTGCTTCAGTGTAAATGATTTAATAAAAGAATGTCATTTCAGGGCTATATTTCTGTGGCTGTGTACAAAGGACTTGAAGAATATGGAGTTCAACAATGTGCAGCCAAACTCCCCAGAAGAGATCATGCTGGGACTGAAGGAGGGCAAAGTGACTTATGCTGTTGTCTTTGAGACCCTCTGCAGGTAAACAGATGAGACAGTTAACCATACAATGGGATGTGGTAAATGGTTTATAATGGGATTCAGAGGCCCAATGAGTCTAATGATTGAGAAGCCCAGGAACTGAGTTGTCCAGGAATAATGTTGTCCAGGGTTTGAGTTTCATTCGAGATCAACTTTTTTAGAGAATGAATTGTCCAAGGAATAAGTTGATGATGGGATTGAGTTGTCCAGGGGGTGAGTTTTCTACTAGGGATTGTGTTGTCTAAGAAATAGTTTTCTGGGCGATGAGTCCATACTGTTAAGAGAATGAATTTATCAGGGAATAACTTGTTGATGAGAAAAACACTTTGTCTAGGGATGAGTTTTATTGGGATTGAGTTGTCCAAAGGATTGATTTGTCCAGAGGATGACTTGTCATTGGTTTTAAATTATGTCACCACCAAAAGGTGGTGACATATTGGGGTGGTTGTGTTATGGTTTTTTTTACGGCGGTTGGTGGTTGGCGATCGCCGTCTGTTACAAATTCTTACAACTTCCAATAACTTAACAAATACTGTTTAGACTGACTTCTATTTTTTCAAAATCACCTACATGTTTTCAGAAGTTCAAATCTGATTTTATATTTAAGGTTTGACTTGCTTCAAATTGACAAATTTTTCTATTCAAAATCATCTACAAATTATCAGAAGTTCAAATCTGACTTTAGATGTGAGATTTGACCTTCGATGACCTTCTCAAGGTCAAATAAGGCCAAAAAGGTCTTTTTTCAACTTGCTTCAAATTGACCAATTTTTTTTTCAAAATCATCTACAAGTTCTCAACAGAATATAGATTTAACCTTCAATGACATTCCCAAGGTCAACAAAGATTTGACCTTCAATGACATTCTTAAGGTCAAAAAGGTCTTTTTCATCTTGCTTCAAATTGACCAATTTTTTTCAAAATCATTTACAAGTTCTCAGAAGTTCAAATCTGACTTTAAATTTGAGATTTCACCTTCAATGACCTTATCAGGGTCAAAAAAGGTATTTTTTCAACTTGCTTCAATTGACCAATTTATTTTTCAAAATCATCTACAAGTTCTCAGAAATTCAAATCTGACTTATGATTGAACTCATAATATTGTGAGCAACTAGGTGCTGACATTTTGTCATGTTAATGCCTTGTTTATTGATGCTTCAGATAATGTTTAGACTCTTGTAATGCTTCAGGTTAATTTATTATATTGCAGCTATGCAGGACTTCATTGTATTACACTGGCTGGTTATGCCAAGGGTGCAGACTACAAGCCAGGGATGAGATTTACTGGTGGTAGTGGCCAGCACTCATGGAACGCTGTACTGATTGATGGTCAGTGGCAGTTGGTTGATTGCCATTGGGCTGCAAGGAGACTTGTAGGAAAGCAGGTACGTCATATAGGAGACATACTACATAGTATTACCTGTCCATCAATGTTACATCTACTGACAACTGCTTGCTTCATGCACATTTCAATTGAGATTATACATTATACATTTGATTCAAAATACCAATGCTGAACCTAACCAAATTCTTGTCTGTTGACACGCTACTATGCCGCTCTGTCTTGATGTTAATATGGGAAATCTTTTCAGAAATCATTCCCAGATAGTGTTCTTTCTCAGTTAACTGGAACTGATACGGTAAATGCCAAGCATTTTTTGAAAATATCATGAATTCAGACTTTCCTTCCACAGCTGTTACTATAGCAAAATTGTGAAAGACAAATGAATTCCAAATATTTGAAATTTATGATATATTCGAAAAATTGGCCGGAGTATTGGTTAGCTGTAGGGGAATTATTCATTGGTTCAGACTCTAGTTATATTGTGCTTACTGTAGACCAACCAATGACAATAGATGACCAAAGGTTTTATTGCTTAAGAAATGATACATGTTACATTTTTGAAATTTGCTAACTTTCAATTCATATTTATCAACCACTTAAAGGAAGAGGACAAAGGGGTAAATTGATAATCTAAATTCATAATGAGAAATGCAATGCTTTAATTAATGAGAAATGCACTGCTTTAATCAGCATGCAAAATGCCAAAAACATTCAGCTACTTAGCTAGCACCATTGTAGATTCTAGATTTAAAAAAAACTGATTATGTATTAGAATTACTGAATTATAACAAATGCAAATATATTGTAGATGCTTGTATTGCTTGTTCATTTTGTTTTTATGTGTATTTGTGTATTGCATATTAGACTATGACATTGCATTTTAGACTGTAATATTGCATATTAGACTATGAACGTGTTTGTAATAACACTACTGTATGTATCATGAGCTTAAAGTATCACTGGCCATGGTAATTTTCTGTATTTCTTGATAGAAATATTTAGAATTAAAATCTATAATAGAAGTTCTGCCAGAATGACAAACTTCCCTTGACTGGAATTAAGTTTCTTATGAAATATAAATTAATTTTAAAAATACAAAAAATCAACTGCACGATAATTTTTTGTAGTTTTACAGTTAAAACATAACTATAGGCCCCTAGTGATATTTTCTCCTCATGGTTACTGCTATTTTACTTTTAGTATGTTTCTCTAGAATGTAGTTTGCAATGTATTTTCTTGTATTTGACAGCAAACTGTGAAAAAGGTAAAGAAAGGTGGTAGCCCTAGTGTGAAATCCTATACCTTTATAATTATCCTCTATAAGTCTGTCTTGAATTATGGTTCATGTAATTTAGTGTCTTTTGCTACTGAGGCAATGCTCAAAAAACGATAGAATTTAATGATGGCAATATCGTGAAAGACAATAGAATTTGATGAATCATAATTCGCAATAATTTTCTGGAAGGCTCAGACCTGACTATCTTACTATCCCAACAATTAAGAATTCTAAATAATCTATCTATAAGTTGTATATAATTCTCACAACTTCTGAAACTCTATAGTTATAAGATACACAAATTGTTAATGTTCCAATTTTACCTCACAATAAACACCTGCATTTTATTTGTAATTCTATCCTCTAAATAACAGTTTGAATTTTCACTTTTTTCTCAGTGTTGCATTAGAATAATGTTGAATTTGTCTTTTTGTAATTGATTCTGTCTCCCTACCAGCAATACTTACCCCAAAAGATCATATCCAGAAATGTCTCCCTACGGTGCATAAATGTGATCAGATCAAAAAGGTTACTGCTTTTTTTCCTCTAAGGATTTGAAGGAATCAGAATCATTTTTATCATTATGTCACCACCAAAAGTGGTGACATATTGTTATGGTCTCCGTTTTTTTGCGACGGCGGTTGGCGTCTGGCGGTTGGTGTCTGTAACAATTTCTTACAACTTCCTATAACTTAACAAATACTGTTTAGACTGACTTCAATTTTTTTCTAAATCATCTACATGTTCTCAGAAGTTCAAATCTGACTTTAGATTTGACATTTGACCTTCAATGACCTTCTCAAGGTCAAAAAGGTCTTTTTTCAACTTGCTTCACATTGACTAAATTTTTTTTCAAAATCATCTACATGTTCTCAGAAATTCAAATCTGACTAGATTTGACTTTAGATTTAACATTTGACCTTCAAATCTGACTTTAAATTTGACATTTGACCTTTAATGACCTTCTCAAGGTCAAAAAAGGTCAAAAAGGTATGTTTTCAACTTGCTTCAAATTGACTAAATTTTTTTTTCAAAATCATCTACGTGTTCTCAGAAATTCAAATCTGACTTAAGATTTGACTTAAGATTTGACATTTGACCTTCAATGACATTTTCATGGTCAAAAAGGTCTGTTTTCAACTTGCTTCAAATTGACTTAAATTTTTTTCAAAATCATCTACGTGTTCTCAGGAATTCAAATCTGACTTAAGATTTGACATTTGACCTTCAATGACCTTCTCAAAGTCAAAAAAGGTCAAAAAGGTCTTTTTTCAACTTGCTTCAAATTGACTAAATTTTCTTTTCAAAATCATCTACATGTTCTCAGAAATTCAAATCTGACTTTAGATTTGACATTTGACCTTCAATGACCTTCTCAATGTCAAAAAAGGTCAAAAAGGTCTTTTTTCAACTTGCTTCAAATTGACTAAATTTTCTTTTCAAAATCATCTACATGTTCTCAGAAATTCAAATCTGACTTTAGATTTGACATTTGACCTTCAATGACCTTCTCTATGTCAAAAAAGGTCAAAAAGGTATTTTTTCATCTTGCTTCAAATTGACTAACTTTTTTTTTCAAAATCATCTACATGTTCTCAGAAATTCAAATATGACTTTAGATTTGACATTTGACCTTCAATGACCTTCTCAAGGTCAAAAAAGGTCAAAAAGGTCTTTTTCAACTTGCTTCAAATTGACTAATTTTTTTTTTCAAAATCATCTACATGTTCTCAGAAATTCAAATCTGACTTTAGATTTGACATTTGACCTTTACTGACCTTCTCAAGGTCAAAAAAGGTCAAAAAGGTCTGTTTTCAACTTGCTTCAAATTGACCAATTTTTTTTTTCAAAATCATCTACATCTTTTCAGAAGTTCAAATTTGACTTTACAAGTTCTCAGAAATTCAAATCTGACTTTAGATTTGACCTTTGACCTTCAATGACCTTCTCAAGGTCAAAAAGGTCTTTTTTCAACTTGCTTCAAATTGACTAATTTTTTTTTCAAAATCATCTACATGTTCTCAGAAGTTCAAACCTGACTTTAGATTTGACATTTGACCTTCAATGACCTTTTCAAGGTCAAAAAGGTCTTTTTTCAACTTGCTTCAAATTGACTTAATTTTTTTTTCAAAATCATCTACATGTTCTCAGAAGTTCAAATCTGACTTTACATTTGACCTTCAATGACCTTCTCAATGTCAAAAAAAGTCAAAGAGGTATTTTTTCAACTTGCTTCAAATTGACGAATTTTTTTTTCAAAATCATCTACATGTTCTAAGAAGTTCAAATCAAACCTTCTTAAGGTCAAAAGGTATTTTCCAACTTGCTTTAAATTGACCAAATTGTTTTAGGTGGTGACATTTTGTCATGTTAATGCCTTGTTTCAATACTTTTTCATTCAACCAAATTATAAAACCAGTGCATGTATTTTATAGGTCTAATATATTAAAAGGGGTTAACATACATTTTAGTTATAATTTTATGAAGGCCTTGCTTTGTAATATTTATTTGTGAACGAAGGTTGATAAATAGAGGTTTTTCACATTATGCATGTGTGAGTTAGTAGCATGACCTACTGAGTTAGATAAGGAGTTTGGACTTCTTTTGGTTTTTTGGTACAATCTTGAAGTCTTGATATGTGTGTACTAATGTGAACTTTATTACAGGCCTAATCCAAGAAATCATACAATCTCAAGATTGTATTTTTGAAATTGAGTGATTGTAAAGCAATTGTACTGTTCCATGTGGTTAATCAAACAAATAGAGGGGAGGTCTAAGCCCTTCTTAATTAGTATTGCAAAATTGATATTTTGACCTCATACCATACACTATTGTTACAAAAAAGTAAATACTATCTTAAAATCGTAAAAATTGATATTAAGCTTATTTTAAGATATTGGAAAAATTACTTAAATCCAGTTTTAAGTGGATATAGTTTGGTAGAGGGGACTTATCGAACAAATTCTTATGGCTATTGTAAATTTGTTTCAGGTGACACAGGAAAATGTGAGGTATGAATTGGATGAGTACTACTTCTTCCCTGACCCTCATCAGTTGATCTTCACTCACTTCCCTGAGGAGAAGGACTGGCAGCTACTAGAGCGTCCTCTACTATTGGCAGAATTTGAAAACCTCGCTCCTGTGAAATCTGCCTTCTTTAAATTCGATCTACAGCTGATTAGCCACAAACAGGCTGTTATATCCAGTCCCGGAGAGGTAGAAGTAACTGTGGCCTGTCCCCCATGGAAAGGCAATGAGATTGCCTTCACGTTTACGCTGACTTTTGAGGATGGCCGAGAGGAATACCAAGGAACAAAGTTGACCCGCTATGGTATGCAAGAGATGGTTGATAACCTCAGCATCTTCAGGCTGAGAACCCCAGAGAAAGGTTCCTATAGGTTTATCATCTACGCTAAGGAAGTCACCCCTGAGACAAAGGAAGGAGTATATGGTGCTGTATGCGAGTACCAGATCTTGTGCGATCGTGATGCTAGTGGCGTACAGCCCTATCCCCCATGTGCCCACACCAGTTTCGGACCTGGCGACAAGGCCCAACAGTACAACCTTCAGTCACCATTCAAGGGGGCATATATCTCTGCACCTAATGGACATACCGAAATCAAGTTCAAAATGCCCCATGAGTTGCGTTTCATGGCTAAGTTGAAATCCAACGCCATTGATGAGAAATCTCTAGAGCCCTATGTGATGCATCGTGTTGTGAATGATTCTGCTGTCTTCAGTGTGAATCTGCCACGTCAGGGAGAATATGGCCTGGAATTATACGCCAATGACCCAGCCACGGATGGTAAATCTCTGTTCCACGTATGGCAATACCTTGTAGTGTGCAACCAGCCAATAGTACAAGCCATCCCCTTCCCACAGTTGCCACCTGGTTACCTTGGTAAACAGCCAGGTATTGAGAAGATAGGTCTGACAACATACAGCCACCACGACCCTTATATTAATGCAACCGCTGGTGAGATGAGCATTCAAATGAAGACTACCCAGCCTCTAAGAGTCACTTCGAATCTAATCTACACTGCCAATAATGAAGATTTCACGGACTATATCTTGCAACAATTTAAGGACAATATTCTCTCATTTGTTGTAAAGCTACCCAAGGCTGGAAGCTATAAGCTTCAGGTGTATGCCCTGCCATACACAGACACCAGTGAGAGCCTCCCAGGGGTGTACAACTACCTGATCAATTGTCCCCAAACACACGCTTCACTGGTCGCTTACCCCAAGCAGTACGCCCAGTGGAAGGAGGGCTGCTACCTGTCTGAACCTACAGATGGTCAACTGGATCCTAACAGGCCTACACGTGGATCTGCCACTAGCCAACAGTTTATCTACTTTAAGATCGAGGTCCCCAAGGCCAGTGCTGTTGCCGTTGTGGTCGGTGAAGACTGGACTCAACTGGACCAGAAGCAGCCCAATGTATGGGAGGGTCAGGTGACCATGGATAAGCACTGGGGCGTAGAGAACAGAGCTGCTGTTTGTGCCAACTATGGCTCATTCAAGGCCAGTTACAGCACTCTCTTGGAATACACTATGTAGACACAGGCAGGCACTAACATACATTAACGACACCCAGTCTGATTAATACCAGCGAGTACTGCCATACTATAAGCATTGAAACTTTTGACTCACATTAAAACCTATCTTTGGAAAAAGAATTTCAAGGAAACATTTTGGTATTCTACCTATGTTGGTGTATTCATTCGTTTTAGTGGTGAACTTGGGTTATTGAATGTAAATCTAGACTAAATTGTGAGGACATTATACAGAGTCTGGGATGTGGCATTGTATGCAATATAAAGTATGAGGGATAAAGGTATTGGGAAACAAGGAATATGGACAATCTAATAGGACCTCAGCACAATGTGGAATATGAAAGTGTAAAATTTAGGAAATATGAAATGCAATATGTAGTGTCGCTGCCACATCCCCAGTGCCCCTTTAACCCAATGTATGTATCATACAATTGCATATTATGGATATGTGTAGGAGATAGTAGAGAGATTGCTTGTGATATTATAGAGCATAGTTTTATAGAATTTTGAACTTTTAAAGTTCTGTGATGCAGATAGATGGAGATACTAGGACTGGTAATTGAAAGTATTAAATCATACTTATCTTTTAATAGTGAACCATATAAGTTCATCTCATACTGCATTTTTTATATAGGCTAACTTTATTTAGCACATTTTTTATATTAAATGCTTTTATATACTATGCTAATATTATGTATAACTAAAATTATAGTAAACTCTATGTATACAGCTCTATATAGTCAGGATCTTTGGAAGTTGGGAATCAAGTGGGGTCGGCGTCAGGCCAAGAAAAAATATTTTTGTTTCTTGTTACATATATTAATATGAGGAAAATCAAAAAGATACCCCGACTGGGTCAAGGCTGTATATGGATGCAAAGAACACATCATTTTGGTTGTACATGTATCAAGTTTTCCTATTTGCATCAAATAGACAAGAATAATTTTCTTGGCCTAAGGTATTGTGATTCTATATGTCATGTTGTTTAACTTGAGTTTGAACAAGTGCAATGTTTGACCATATTGGTGTTGAAATCCTTGAGATTTATATCATTTGTGATTAATATACAGGGAGTCTAATAAGAAATGAAACTAACTGAAATTGAACTAACTACTCTAGTTCTACTTTTTATGAGACATCCTGTAGATAATACTATAGACTTTGTATTTCCTGGTGTACATTGCCAAATCATTTGTTATTTTTGTATGTTTTTCATGAGGTTGGGATTACATGTGTATTGTTATGGATATGAAAATTGGAATCATGAAGTTTTATTGATTCATGAATAGTTACTCTAATAAGCTTAATAGATTCGTATAGTATCAGGATTTTTTGTATTGGGTAGGACCTTCAAACGTATAATTGTTTATTCTTGTTGAATACCGAGGCTGTTTTGTAATTTTATTTTGATCTTGTATTTAATGATATTCGGCCAGGTAGGCTTAGGCTTCCATCATGTTATATCATAACAACCATGTTTACTTTTATTCAAATAAAACGTTCAAATTGAAAATTATCTGTCCTTTCTTTCTATCAGACCTTAAATTGGTCATCTGAGCTTGGTGAGCAGGTTGTGGCTTTTCTCTCCCAGTCAAAATCAATTTAATTTGGTGGAGTATAGGTTTAAATGAAGAGCGAATTAAGTTAAACAAGTAAACCTTAAATTGTTCAGGTCATCGCAAAAACAAATACTTTTTTGACCCGGTGTAAAAGAAATTATGGTCCCCTAGGGATTATGGTCCCCTTTCCTTACAGCCCTTACTGGCCCTGACTGTGTATGAATAATAAGGAAAATAATTGTAATTAGGTCACCATATAGATCAATAGAGAGTAGGACCAAAATTGGATAGGACCACCTACCCCTTTACACCGGCCTGTACCTTATATTCGTCAAGATACATCCAAACCTAATACACCAAAATATCAACACTGCAGAGATCCCTCTAAAATGAACATCTAGGCTAACTAAAGTTCATGAAGTTGAGGTACCAATGACGTTTCACATATCTTTTATTGAATATAAAATACTAAAAATAAAACCTTGTCAAATTATTAATGCAACGACGTGGAGAAATTGCTCTGATTAAGCTAACATTCGCAAATTCGACTGCCGGTCGACGACTTGATCGCGATTTGATTGCTATTATGTTACCATCTTATTTTAACATGGATAGTACCTGCTACTTTAAATGAGTTGGTCATGGAATAGCGGCCAAGTCATCAGCCAACTCATTTGAATATGAATAGTAGCAGGTACTTATCATATTTAATGAGTCCTCCACAAAATACTAATCAAATCGCGGTCAAGTCGTCAGCTGGCAGTTGAATTCGGGAATACTAGCTTAGACTCGGGAATGGTAATTATTCCCGGATTGGTGGAGTAGTAAATCTTTGCCTTCGTATTTGTTGTCCAAGTTTCCATTTCATTCAGCTTATTATTTGCCATTCATCGTTGAGGCCAGACTCTGGTACAGTCTCAGTGGTACGGGCTGATTAAAACCTTTTAATTGTTTTTCAGTCAGGATTTCGTGTTTTTCAACAGTAGAAAGTAAAACAATACACACAAAGAGATAGAGTTACACAACCGTTGAGTTCACGTGAACTTTTAATGAAAACAATACTGAAGCTGAAACACATGTAGTAATACAACCTGCGAAATCCCTTCACTATAATGTCATCTGAATCACATTTTAAAGTTGGTATTGCCATTTGGATTCATTATAAGTATATATATTTATACTTAAATTATTTTGATTTCTAAAATTTATTTTAATCATGGAAAGGAGGTGTTTTAAACATAATTACATTTTGAATGTCCTTACGTTTGTTAAAAGGAATGGACTGGCCTTGATTATTGGACATAAATTCAATAACATTTCTATGATATTTTTCTGGGGGTTAAGCGTTACTTTGAACATAAAAGCCCATAAAACTAGATGAATGTACAGGGTGGTAAAAAAAAATGGAAACCCTAATACCATTTTCCTCATATCTTTGTTATTTTATAAAATAACTCCCTGATATTTTACACTTTTGTACACCATTCAATTTGCTACCAGCCTACTTCATGTCATGAGCATCAGATTGATAGTCACAAAGTTACAGTACTTTAAAGAACATGCCCAGTGGCCACTATTGCGTTGTGGGAAAACCTGTACTCATCGTCTAAAATGTCCCTACCTGTGGGGATATGGCAGTGAAAGAGTAAATGAGTATGACCTCAGGACAATTGCAAACCTCAAAAGTGAGATCATTTGTGTCATTCAGGCCATACCTGCTGATGAATGCATTCGGGTCATTGACAACTGTGCTGTTTTGTCTACAGCGCGATGAAATAAGTCCCTATTTTTAAGTTGCCTGTTGCAAAGAACCTCAAAGTTGTGCCCATTTTTTAGCGATGCCGGAATGAATGTTGCGTTTTCGTTTTCTTGGATTTGCGATCAGAATTTGGATTTAATTATAAAATTCGAAGGTTTTAAACACTCCTCATACCATTAACGATTCCTTTGATTTCAGCACTTTCGAAAAACATAATCTAACTTTTTATTACACAGTCGCCTTAAGAAAAGAACATACTTACGCAATCAATAAAGAAACTCCTAGATTGACACATTTAAAATAGATAACAATTGTCTTAAAGATGGGTAATATTTGCGATTGATTTGCGGCAGGGTAAGAGCTGTCGCAGCTTTTTGGTCAGTTGCGATTGAAACATCTTCCCATTTGCGATTGCGTTGCGTTGCGCCGAGCGTATGATACAAATCCTGATTGCGATTCGCCCAAACTTGCGTTGCGTTGCGGTGCACTTGCGAATCTGCGTTGCCACGAGCAGGTGATGAGGCCTATGGTATTTAAAGGCAGAATCAGATCTAAATAGAGTAAACAAAATTGTAAGCAACGTGTACAGTTGACCTACCAATGTATTTCTTACAATCTCAAATATGAATACCTCCCAAAAGACCCACAATATGTTATTAATTGGTAATGTTGTTTAAAATTCAAAGTGTAAAAAGTGGGAAATGTTCAAATTCTCCCAAATAATAATAAATAAGTTACACTAAGATATACAAATGTGAGGCACCATCTGTGGTATCTGTGTCTGGAGTTTGTGATGTTGGCACTGTTTGACAATCTTACCACCAATAATAAGCAAGTATTGGCTGCAGCTATAGTACTTCATAACTAAAATAGATGTATTACTTTGCTTGAAGCTACAAATATAAAATTGGCAAGACAAAAATTGCGTGTCTTTTTTCTGTTTATTGTATTTTTCTGAGACCAATAAGGGTATCAACCTATAATACTTTAGGATAGTACAGCATTTATATTTGTACAAGCAATGTGTGGTGAAGAACTCAGAACAATCGCTCATATATCCTTTGAGTTATGAACTAGTTTCATAGTACCATCTAGAATATTTTCCGAGGGGGGTAAAAATGCCAAAATTCAGTGTCATGGCCATTCTGTTGAGCTGTCATCTTTTAATATCTTTATCAGCATGAAAAGCTGATCTAGTAAAAATAGGGCTGTTGCTTTTTCTAAAAAATGCCTCAAAACTTGAATTATTTAAATTGGAACCTGTCTAACATGGAATATTATCCTATTGTTGTTGGCACATGTTTTAAGAATTATAAATAAGTTACATTTAGCACTGCCTTATCGCATCCTACGATCCCTTTAGATTGTGGAGAATCTAAAGGGGTCGTAGGATGCGATAAGTACTCAGGGCCGTCAGATGGGGGGGGGGGGGTGCGATGGGTGCGTCCGCACCCCCCTTTGTCACCCCCCAAAATAAATTTGAAAAATTTTTTTTTGGTAATTTTTTTTCATAGACTCATACACTTTGAAAGTACACAAGAAGCACCAAATAGCATCTTAAAATTGTAAAATTTTCTAGGGGTACTGGCCACCCCTCACACCCCCCACAAAACAATGGAAAAGTTCTAAATTTATTTTAGAGTTTTGTCTCAGACACTTTTAAAGTGCCCAGATATCATCAAATAGCTCCTTGATATAGTTAGTGTTTCTGGGGGACTTACTCCCCCTCTTGCATCTTGCACTTGCATAACACCCCCCCCCCCCTCTGGCGCCCCCCCCCCCAAAAAAAATTGTGATTTTCTCAAATTCTTTAATTGAGTCATACACTTTGAAAGTGCCCAGAAAGCACCAAATAGCGTCGTAAAATTGTAAAATTTTCTAGGAGGAGTGGGCCACCCCTCACACCCCAAACAAAACAATGGCCCTCTGGCATCCCCATTCCACCTCCCCCTCTGGCAGCCCCCCTCCCTTAACACCCCCCCCCCCAAAAAAAAAATTGAGATTTTTCAAATTGTTTCATTGACAATATATACCCTTTGAAAGTGCCCAGAAAGCACCAAAAAGCATCTTAAAATTGTAAAATTTTCTTGGGAAAAAGGCACTTTTAGGCACAGACGCTTTTAAAGTGCCCAAACTTCATCGAATAGCACCTTGATATTGTAAATTTTGATATGGGGGACAAACACTTGCTCCCCCTCTGGCACCCCAGCCCCGTCTCCCCCTCTGGCACCCCCCCCCCCCCCTTTGACACCCCCAAAATTTGAAAAAGACTGTGATTGTTTTTCAATGTTTTTATTGACTAATACATTTTAAAAGTGCCCAGAAGCACCAAATATCATCTTTAAATTGTAAAATTTTCTAGGAGAGTTAGCCACCCCTCACATCCCCCACAAAACAAAACAAAATATTCTGAATTTCATGTATTGTCTCAGACAATTTTTAAGTGCCCAGACATCATCAAATAGCACCTTGATATGGTCAATGTTTCTGGGGGACAACCCCTTGCGGCCCTACTGGCACCCCACCCCACTTCACCCTCTCATCCTCTTTGACACCCCCAAAAGAATTTGAAAAAATTCACATTTTTCTTATTGACTCACAACGCACAGGCGTACCAGATGGTTGCAAATTCGCTCCAAATACAACCAATTTTCAAAGTTTTCCTGGGGGAGAACCCCCAGACCCCCCTGATTACTCGGTTTTTTATTCACTCAACTCTTATTCCCATGGTGGTGGCGTACTACTTAGAAACTTGCACTTTGAAAGTGCCCAGAAAGCACCAAATAGCATCTCAAAACTGTAAAATTTTCTAGGGGGAGTGGACCACTCCTCACACCCCCCACAAAACAATTGGAAGTTTGGAAGTTGCATGCATTTGTTAATTCCAAACCAATATAGGGAGTAACTGACCCCCCCCCCCCCCCTCTGTCTTACGCGATTTGATTTACGCGGCAAAAAATACAATTTTATATTCTCTTTAGTAAGCTAAAAACCGCACCCCCTTGGAGAAAAGTGTCTTACGGGCCTGAGTACTGCCCCCATTAAAGTCCAAATTGAGTCACTAAAACATGTGAAAGTCCGTGATCAACTTTCATTGCAGAGGCGTAGCTAGCCCATTTTGCGAGTGTACGCCCGTATGATTTCCCGGTTTTATCAAAATTAACAAAACGATGGTTCCATAAAATAGGAAGATCCCGGGTGTTCAGAAGATAGGGGACATGTTACGTGGTATATGGCATACATTCATGGTTGCGCGGTATTTGTGATACGGGTGAATATGCCATACTCACCTGCGGTATATGGCATATTCCGCAGGCAAGTATGCGATATTCCGAAGTGAATATGCGATACATTGATTTCAGTGAATACCCGATACTCACCTGCGGAATATATCATACTCACTTGCAGAATATGCCATATACCGCAGGTGAATATGACATATACCGCAGGTGAAAACGTGATACAGAAAGCCTTGATTTGATTGGTTGAGAGAATCGACTCTCAATGTAAAACTACGCTGGATTACCAATATACTTAGTGCGTCGAGTACTAATATATGAATCCTGGTTTGATTGAGAAAGTTTATTACGCGAAATTGGTGACTGATACTTCTGCTAAGTTAATATATTCGATACACAGTACTGTTGATTCAGTAATCATTATGATAATTTATAACGTTTTACTTGTTCGTTCAATCGATGCAATTGACAATTGCGTACTGTCATACACCGCAAGTGAATATGCCATATTCGTTGCGGAATATGACATATTTTTGTATCGTGTTTACCGCGTAACAGGACACACTAAACACTCTTAATTCAATGAAGGAAATATGTATTGTTTGATCATTTTGACATAGCTTTTTAAAGTGATTGAATTAACTGTATTAACAGATAATATTCGGGAAACAAAATAGACAGATTCTATGTAATCATGCCTTCGGCGATCGAAGCCGTCTATCAAGGCGATTTTTTTGGTAAAATATTTATTTTTCAATTAATCAGGTAAATTTTATTTTTCCTTAAAATTTGAGAGTACGCCTGGGCGTACTTGGCGTACACGTAGCTACGCCACTGCATTGTATTTAGTTTTCAGGGGGAGAGGGGTGGGGGTCCAACTCAAAACTAGATTTATTTAGTTTCCTATCAGACATTGAACTTTTGATACTTCCCCTTAAATAGTCCATCGCTTTTTCTAAATGATGAACCCCATTCTCAAAATTCATTTCGTTCGTTGCGTACCTTCACTTCACAGGAGGTACGGATGGCACTGGACGAAAGGCTCGGAGACTGGATGAACCCAATGACCGGTTGTTGGCATCGGGTTCACCTTTCTCCTCCAGATGAAGGTTCCGTGTAGCATTCATATAAAAATATGAACTCTGCAAGGAGAATTAATCTCATCGTACTTCCTTGTTTTATAAGAAGTTGGACAAAAACACTAACAAATAGAGGCTCCATTTAACATTGTGACCTTCTAGTTTGTTTAAATTTGACATTAATAATAAGATATATATTCTATTTACATTTATGAATGCATAATGAATAAAAATACGGCTTTGTTTTTTCAAAAACAAAGAACATACTTAACCTTAATTTCATTTTCTCCCAACACGAAATACAGAAATCATATAATGTCAATTAAGGTGTGGCTACGCAGGCTACAATATAAATTCTCGACGCCCATTGGTTCGAGCGCTATATCACGTGGTCAAATACGTAGTTGATTGGTGTTATGACAGATTGAAAACAAAGATTCTAGAAAATAACAGAACAGGAGGAAATTTTCACCATCATAAACGGCGAAATTAGGGAATATTTCGGTACATGATCAAACAATGGATATTACCAACGTATATTTAAACTATTGAGGAAGGTAAGCGTACAAAACATATACATTTATTTCTTCGATAAGGATGTAAAATAGGTGTTCAAAGTTGGGTGTATGAGGTCAGAAAGCTGGTTCATTCTTGTTGTTGGAAGTTTCATCATGGTTTTGCAATCAACAAAAATTCCAACGTCAGCTTCTTGAAAGCATCAGAAAATGTCCAAAATTCCTGGCATTTTTTCATCAGTGTGTATTTATTTCTCAAACTTTCTATTTTTGGTGGGATAGCGAAGGGTACACGTTTTGTAAACGTGAAGAAAGGACGTGATTTACTCCCGTCGAGAGCTACTTAGATTTTGAAAGTATAGCTCTCTATCGCTAGAATCAACAGCTTAAGAATCCTGACTTCAAAGAAAATTTCAGGGAATTCAGCTGACTCATGTTGCACATTATATACCTGAAAATGTATCCTACATCGCCATTTTCATTCAGCTCAACTATAGAACGTCTCACTGCCCTATGTATCGATCAGGACTTCATTTTATTGGTCGTGTCAAAAGTTTTGGCCAGGTATATTCAATATGGCGGCTCAAGGAGGATTGGCTCCCAGAGTGCACCACCGATATTCTGTCCCATATATGGGTATGTCGTAATACAAAATTCGAATTCACACAGCCGCCATTTTGTTCACTTCAACATTTAAATCGTGAATTTTGGTCTTATTTCCAAACGAAAAATTCCAAAACTCACAAGAAATGATCGAGATATTGGTTCGAATCTTTTGAACTGTTTATTTTGAATTTATAGTCGGTTTTAATTTCAGAAAATAACGACATTTCGACGTTTTCATTGTTGGAAAATATCGAGTTTCGATCCTGGGAGCCAATCCTCCTTGATGGCGGCTTGACGTTTCCCAAGTTGCGCATGCGTCGATAGTATTTCCGTTTAACCGCCATATTGGAAATGGGTATCGAACAATAACAATTAGAACTCCTGATCGCCATAGAAGCACATCCGCGATCCTACATGCACGGGGAAAGTAGACACATATGAGCCCATAATGTAGGCTATAGTTTGAGACAAACAGCAAGCCGTTGACTGGCGCTGATCAAAATTAGATGTCACAATTCTTCAGCTGGGAGATCCTCACGATGGAGAGCTATACTTTCAAAATCTAACATGGTAGCTCTCGACGTGAGTAAGACGTGATGACCTTGTCCTGGTTTTATGTAAATATTGCAAAGGGTGAAACAGCTGATGGTTCATAGTGTTACCAAGGGTTGAGAATCTAGGGATTTACCCTGGTAAAATGTTTATAGGACATCACCTCTACATTTGCAGGTTTTGAACCAGCAAGTATATCCATTAATATTATTTTACTATCACGTCCCGATAATGGTTACACTATCCATGGTTGGTAAGTACTTTTCTAGGTCACTTCCCGGATTCTAAGGATCCACCAAGGCCTATATAATGCTTAGTCATCATGGTTGAATGCTTTATTACAGTAAGGCTGGTTTTGGTTTTGCAAATGATGTTTCCTCAATCAAATGTTCGCCATTTTTCCACATCACAATTTGAATTACGAGTTTTGGTCTTATTACTTCACCAAAAATTCCAAAACACACATGAAGTGATCAATGAATTAGTTCACATCTTCTGGATCATTAACTTAGAATTTACAGCCAGTTACTAATGTCAGACAATAACGACATTTCGTCCAGTTTTCGAATATTGTCATTTTTTGGAGCCGTTATTTTAATTTTAGATGAAATCCTGGTGAAATCATGCAATATCTCATCAAGGAGCCCAGCCAGTTTCATTTTAATTCATGATTTATTTATCTGGCGATTTTTAAAATATTTGATTTTATAACTCGACGGCCAGCTTTTTTCAAATTGTTCACGGTGTTTCAGATGAAATTACTTCTTGCCAAGAATTGGCTAGAGACTCAATGTAAGGGTAATCCGTCTCAGTCTGGACCATTTTCGCTACATCCCCAAAATATGTGTATTAGGGATCTTGAAGCTATTTGGAAGCTGAAGGGAAAGTGAAAGTCAGATTTAAGGGGTCGTGTCATAAGGGTTTAGAAAAAAAATCACTTAAATTAACTTAATTTCAAAATTTCTATGAGAACTATGTATTACTGTATTTTCCTATTATCCTCTATGTATCATATGGAATATCAATTTCGATCAAATTGGGTCGTCAATGACAACGGAATCTGAATTTTAAATAATTGTTGTCTGTAAATTATCCCAAATTCAGATTCCTTTGTCACTGACGATAACGAAGATGCTATATTGTGGCTATTCACGACCCAATTTGATCAAAATTGGGATTTCGTATGATACATTATCACAAGAGCTTAATACATGCACAGAATTAGCGATGATAATGTCCCGTGAAACGAGGACCAGGTGATTGAAGAATTGAAGCGACGGTTATGTCCGCCATTTGTGACAACGGTATCTGACTTTACCGTTGTCAGGCTATTCCGGGGTGACTATGACGGGTAAATAAAAATTTAAAGGACCAGTCCAATTTTATGTGACATTATGTAAAATATGCTGAAGCTTTAAGGCACCAATTTTTAATGTTGCTTTTCTCGAAATAGTTCACATTTGTGTTTTTAAGCTTTGAAATTATTGATTTATCAATTATACCTATAATAAAGTTTTAATACTACTGAACTTATGATATGACCCCGGAAATCTGACTTTCACTTTCCCTGTAAAGCTCACTTTCAGATTCCGAATAGCTTCAACATCCCTAATACGTTATCTATCTCATACCGAAAATGCAAAAATATGGTCTCTTGGACTAGGATTCACTAGAATTAATTATCCCATTGAATAAAGTATAGAGGGATAGAGAGGTATAGAGAATATTATCTCGTACCAAGACCAGAAGAAATGGTCATGGTACGAGATAATAGAGAATGTATATAGGGAATTCACTGCATCTATCAGAATCAGTGTAGAAATGCATACAGGGATTTCCCAAAACCATGAATCGTCTGTATTAGACTCTTAGCAGAAACAGGTTAATTTATGCTTTTGTCCTGATTTATGTTAGTTTTATCCTGAAGTACATCCTGGTAAACTGTTAAAACTACATTGGAATTATCTCAAGCAAGCCCATGCCTGGTTTTTGGTTATTGTCTGAATGGATGCCATAGTTACATCAACTTTGCCCCTTTGTCTCCCAAAGAAAAAAATTAAGCCACTCAGCCAGGTCTATCTACTCTTAAACCATATTTCTATCAAGCGCACCTGGCTGTTTTATAATTTATTCATTCTCATTGCATGTTTGAAACGCATTGCACATATTTCAATTATATTCATTACTCTTTGCATGCATTTGCCATGCATTTATCACTATTTCAAATTCAATGTTATCTAAAGTAGGCTAACTAATGTTGTTCTCCTAGTTATTGGACATAAAAATCATAGTGTACAGCCACCTGAAATGCTTCAACTTAACTGACCTGTGATTCATTTACACGCAAAATGCTTTTTTGGGAGACTGTAAAGTTAAAGTACATGTATATAATGAAATCCAGCTGATCTCAGCTGGGAGACTTCAAGTGGCTCAATTTGTATTCTATACCTAAAACATATATTGTTGTAGAGATATATTAAAGGTTACTACAACCTACTGCCTGTTCCATGTCATGAGCTTGTAATATTTATTATTGTCCAAATACTGGTAAAAGTCAAAAGTTCCATTCAAAGCAGGTTTTATGGGGTCACATGGTAATGAAAATTTAATCCAGGATGGGAAGAAAACTAAACTTACCTCATAAAAAGGTTACTTTGACCAAATGATAATGCTTTTATTGACTTTGTGGTGCGAATAAATCATGCACAGGTAGAAAGCAACTTACTTTTACACCCATTGGAATACATGTAAAATTGGCAAAGTTCAAATCATAATTTCTCAAATCCCAGCCCATCGAATCCTCACATCCATTCAGATCATGTAGTCCTATTCAAAAACTTCCCGTTCGGTTATATGGTGAAATAAATATCCCACGAACGAAAAAAGATTTTGCTACATTTATAAGCGAGCATTGATTTCTGGGCCTGTAAAAAGCACGTAGGACCTGATTACCCCATTGATTTACTGAGACCGCCAAAAATTTAATTCAATTTTTTGGTTCAAAATAATAATCTGTCAGCGGTCCCTGACACTCCTACTAGCTATCACCAAACATTAATTGCCAATACATGTACACATATACGTGCCATACATCTACAAAGTAGCGAACTAGTGTATTAAGTACTACTTTTCCTATACGATGAGCAAAACAAATCTCAAGTAGGTTATATTGACCCTATTAGTGTCATGGTTGACTGAATATGCATTTTATTCAATATGAATTTTAAAGTTCGGGGTTTTATGAAGTGATATGTACATTTTTGCTCAAATCCCCTCAGCACTTTTGATTCTATAGGGTTCTCTTGACCCCTGGGGTCATTATATTTTGTGACAATTTATTCCAGACTAAATGTAGTTATTTTGTCATTAAAATATCTTATTAGAGATAACGTTCAGGAAAAGTTGCGCTATCCACAAGACTTCTTGTCACTGCACTGATAAATGTAGCAAAATAGTCAAAATAATTCAGCCTTGAGCATGAAATTTTTGAATTTTTGGACAAATTTTGGGCTATTTTGGGGGATTTTTGCCCATAACGATACTAATCTACTTAAAACAGCTGTTTAAAGTTGTACAAATTGCTTAAGTGATTTATATTCTCTCATAAGTAGGACTATTTGCTACTTTACTAAACTGAACATCATTGATTTTTCGTTTTTCATGAACTTCTGATGGCTAGTTCAAGTAGCATTGTCTTTTGTGCAGGTTTACTGAATACGTCCCTTTAAAATTGGGTCTTTCGTGGGTTTAAAGGGTCAAAATGTTGGAACTTTGCACACTGTGGAACGTTTGGGGTGTGTTTCCTTTAATTTGGCAAGAACTGCATCAAATTACTTGATAAGAGAGCAGAAATGTAGCAATTTAGGCTGAAAAGTACTGTTTTCAATGAAAAAACGAAGATTGCTGAATCAGCAAAATTTAGATCGTCGTCTCCAGAATTGTAGGGGTTAATTTGCAAAACTTTAAATGGTTCCATAGAAACATATGCGAAATATGGCTAAATTCGACATATTTCTCGAAATTCACTAATAAATGTGGTTGATATTAGGTAGAAAGCAACTTACTTTTACACCCATTGGAATACATGTAAAATTGGCAAAGTTCAAATCATAATTTCTCAAATCCCAGCCCATCGAATCCTCACATCCATTCAGATCATGTAGTCCTATTCAAAAACTTCCCGTTCGGTTATATGGTGAAATAAATATCCCACGAACGAAAAAAGATTTTGCTACATTTATAAGCGAGCATTGATTTCTGGGCCTGTAAAAAGCACGTAGGACCTGATTACCCCATTGATTTACTGAGACCGCCAAAAATTTAATTCAATTTTTTGGTTCAAAATAATAATCTGTCAGCGGTCCCTGACACTCCTACTAGCTATCACCAAACATTAATTGCCAATACATGTACACATATACGTGCCATACATCTACAAAGTAGCGAACTAGTGTATTAAGTACTACTTTTCCTATACGATGAGCAAAACAAATCTCAAGTAGGTTATATTGACCCACAGTAGGAGCTGGGAGAAAAAACATTATTGTTTTAAAAAGAGTAATGAAGAGGTCACTATGACCTAATTGCAGTGAGAATAGCATTATTGACATTTTATTATTTATCTTATTGTTCATCACTCAGTAATGCCTTGGTCACATATGCTCCGATCCATCGGCCGGCGCCCGGCCGATTGAGTGTTTTGTTCAATATTGTATTCAATCAGCTGGGAGCCGTTATAGAGAAATTCTGAGCAAATGTGACCAAGGCATGACTTGCTAAATTTACAAATCGCTTTACAATTACAGTAAAACTTCAACTTGAACACCCTTCTATATTGAGAAAAAGCCAACATGCATTCATGGTGCATTGCGCCTTTAACCTGGATGTTATTCATGCTGGATCCCATTGTTAATCCTCCCATTGATTCCCATTTGAATTTACCTTAAATAATATGAACATGTACAGGTTCTACTGGGTCCAAAAAGTGTTCACCTTATACAGATGTTCTTGTATTCTAAAAATATTCCAGTTTCAAGGTGAAGTAACAGTACTATACAACAGTAATAAATATATTTTTTTAATTGCAGATGGAGTTTGATGCGTGCAAAGTTCATGGAAAACCTCCAAAGAAAAGAAGAGTCCGATAAATCATTCCCTGATTTCAGGAAGCAAGCTCTCATCAATTCACTTATACTTAAGATGGGTACAAACTTTGATCAGTGCCTCATGGCAGAACTTCAGGCTAACCCAGCAAGTCCCAATACGATGCATTTATATGAACAAGAGAAACGAGACATGAGCTCCTGCTACCCCTCTGTCTCACAAATCAGTCCTACAGTCCATATGGATAGTCCTTGTGACTTTGACCTAAAGCCCAAGTTTGAATATGACAGTTTAACAGATGAGCTTTTTAACGATAGTCTTTCCCAGTATTTGTTCTGTGAAAACAGCAGAGATAATTTTGAAATTGATGCAACATCAGATCTGTTAAGAATGGAAGATATTTTCCAAGTTGATTCCCAAGATGCCAATCAAGGACCAACACTTGCCGAGTTGAATTCCCCACATCAAATCACAGATATCACATCAATGATCAAACGCGAGAAAAGCAAGGAGTTACCAGTTCAGTCAATAAGCCAAAGCATCCCAATGTGCAGTCTTACCCCCTGTAGTGTTATATCTGGCAGTATTATCCCTAGTACTGTCAACTCAATGAGTTGTGGTGGGAAGGAACCCTCTTCCACCATCACAAGCATGGAGAGCATGGACATATCAATGCTTAAGGTATCAGATGCCACAGACAGTTCAGTTACCAGTAAACAGAAATGGGAGCAGTCTATCAAATCATGGGCAGAAAATAAAGATGCTGAAAGAACAACCCAAGATACATCAATTCTGAGACGTAGTCTTAAACGTCCTCTAAATGACGATCAGTACCAATTTAAAGGTGTTAAAGTCGCCAAGAAGGACTCTCCCAAAGGCGTGACAATTCTCAAACAATCAGGTAATGACTTGAATTAGAATTGACTCTCATTTTTTATGAACTTAGTATCTATATACCCTGACATTGTATTACGTCAACAGGTATTGTTTATACCAAAGAGGATTTGTATTCATACGTATGGATGAACCACTACCACATATGGCAGACATCATTGATCATGCAACGAAAATTATTTTGAAAAAGTCATTCATCATGTAATTGATCCATCCAAATTCTGTAAATATAAAAATAATGTAGTTTATTCAATGTTAATAAGGTTTCTGAATGATGTTTCATTTGATAAATATGTTTACAGGTAAAGGTTCACTGCCTATAGGAATGTCTTTAATAGTCATCTATCACATTTTCTTTTAATACCAATTAACATCACAATCAATCAACATCACACTATAAGGGACTATGCCAACGAATGTTTTGATATTCTCGGAACCTACATATCATATTCTTCTCTAAGAAATGGAGCTGAACATACTTTTCTCAGATTAAAATTTGATTCCAGTTTTGAAATAATGGACTTTAAAAGTTTATCCCCTCCCATTAAAGATAATTTCATTTGTGGACACAATGGTATAGTGACTGGCATTCCTCAAAAGTTGCTATTATGTATTCATCCATTTCAACAAGTATACATATCATTGTAATGAAATCATGTATGCAATCATCATGTTTCAGATTCAATTGAGAGGAGTGACGAGGAAGATGAAGAAGTTGATGAAGGATTTGACAGTGACCTGAATGAAGATGAGGCTATCAATGTTGCTGATGATACTTCAGATGATGAAGGTACAGACAGAAGTATGACATGTATGATAATATTGATTCAATAAATAAATTGTTTTATATAGGTTGAGGTTTTAAGGGCAATTATCATTGACTGTTATCAATACTATATAAACAAAAACATGTATAAAAGTTATTTATGATTCAACTGAAATGAACGTTAATGTCGTTAAGTACAGTGATAATTGTGATTCGTGGCACTTTGGGATTCTGAGAAATCTCTGACAATACAGTGCATAGAAATATGATGAGTGGCAGGGCGAGGACATAGCTGGGAAAGAAAATTAGATGAGGCAAAATAAACAAATCCAAAATCCAAAAATAGACGAGGCAAATTTGAAAAAGAATTGTAATTACTCACAAATATAGGTAGTTTTAATATGGAAATATATTTTGAAACAATGTTAAAGTAACATATACATCTAAATTACATGTACAATAAAAGGGTGGTTATACCACAAACTCTCAAAGCGGTTAGTAATGAAACCAAATAAAGACCAGTAATGGTTACTCGCTACTTTTACTAGTCTGTGACACTGGTTACCCAAATTATCTGAGATCCTAACTTAACCTTGTGGTACCAGCAAATCAACTGAGTAATCCTAATCGCTCACAACGAATACCCTATACTACCTACTGTATGTGGGAACACTGTATTTCCATCTAAATTAACTAACTCACTAACTCTTCGTTCTGCAAGTCCTAACACTTAACTATATTCTAATAACTCATGAACTAAAGTTAACCTATAATGGTTGCATACTTAAAATGCTATGAATACACATGAATGCATAAATACTATTAAGAGTTAAGTTTCCAGCTATAATATCTTATTAAGACATAATGACCCATAAAATGTGCATATATCAGTCAGAATGTTGCTGAATCAATGTTAATAATCAGACAATGTATATTGGGACACCCTGTAATGATATAAGCGATATTCTAATGTTTGCTGGTAACAGTTACTCTAATCGTCGCTCCGGTACAATGAAGGCTTTGATTTGTTCAACTACTTAACTCAGCACAATCCTACTCTATAGCAACTAATTGACTGCTCAATCTGGCCTTCTGTACAAATGGTCAAAGTTTATTGTACCACTCTATAATAACTCAAATATGTCGATCATTGAATCATATGCCATCATAATGCTCAATGTATCATGTTACACTCTATAATGATATTGTGCTGGTATGCTAGTATCTTAGGCTCCTATATGGTCGCTCTGGTACATATTCTGTCTGGTTCATACTGTAATTGATGATCACGGCAAATTGTGACATCCAATAACTACTAGTGCCAATCAATTAATGCTATAACACCATAATAGTCAATGTATATGAGAATACTCTGTATCGATAATCACTGATACTCATTCTGGTCTCCAGTTCACGCATGAATAGTGAACACTGTTAATATACACTATGAATGCTACTGAAGCACTATAATTACTAGTGCCAATCAATTTAATCGTATACCATAATAGTCAATGTATATGGGGATACTCTGTAACAATATCTTTCTATAAATCACCAATACTCATGCGGGTCTCGTGTTCACGTGTGAATACTGGACACTGTTAATTGTTACACTAGGCAAATCAGTTAATGTTACAAAACTACATCTATGAGCACCCTGATCACATGCTATGAATCGTGACGATATCTTTCTATAAATTGCCAATACTCATTCGGGTCTTGTGTTCACTTGTGAATACACACTTTGATTGTTACGCTAGGCAAATCAGTTAATGTTACAAAACTACATCTACAAGCAACACTGATCACATGCTATGAATCGTGCAATTTGTCGTGTATCTCAAGGTATTGTTGCTATATTCTGTAAAGCAAACCACCACCACAAGCGTTAGTATAAGGCCACTGGGAAGAATAATCTACTATACTCTATACCTGAAAACACATAAAAATATACCATATTACATTCCTCCCTTCCTTGACCTACACTAACCCATGAATTTATTTGTGCTTAGTACAGCTGCGCTCACTACCTGCTGGCAAAATGTTTTTATTGCTGACCTCACAATGGTGTTTGGGAAAATTCACAGTATATTGGGATTTACCATATGGCAGTTCCTGTTCTTCATCCCAAAACTGTTCCTCATCATCTTGCGACAACTCATGAAAGTTAGCTTCTGAAGAAGTATCATCTTCCTCCCCAGACAGATCATCTTCCTCACTAGAGAGATGATTGGTAACTCGGACAGTCTCTTGTTCTCCACCTTCATGGTTATTTCTGTTATTGATAATCACATCATCTTCCCATTCCTCATCTGAACTGGAAATGTCAATTTCACTATCTGACCCATGCAAATGAATGGACAACCCCTTGGCTTTCCCATCTTGTGTGGGTTTTTCAATATCAGCTTGATTGGTGTTGAAGTTTCTTCTACTGATAAACTTCTTGAGCCTATCATAATTCACATGGATAACTTTGTTGCCTAAGTCCACCTTATATGTGACATCAGATGTGCGCTTTAAGATTTTAAATGGCCCTTTCCATGGATTATGAAGCTTCCCATCTTTTCCACGTGCAGTTGGGTCAAACAGCATGACTTTGTCACCATGTTCATATTTCTGGAACGTTCCTTTGAGATCCTTATCATATTGAGCCTTTTGTCGCTTCTGAGATTTACTGATGTTGTCTTGAGCCAAGTTAAATACCTTCCTCATATCCCTCTGAAGAGTAGCCACCCAAGATTGTGCAGAGACCCTTTCAATTGGGTAAGCTTCACCAACCATCCAGTCTATGGGTAAATGAGCTTCTCTGCCAAAGGCCAGCATGAATGGCGAAAACCCTGTAGAACTATGAACACTTGTTCTATATGCAAAGAGGACTAGAGGTAGCTTTAGATCCCAGTCACGGTTTTCTTTTGCAAATATGGAGAGAGAGTTGATCAACATTTTATTATTCCTCTCTATCATGCCATCTGTCTTTGGATGATATGAAGTGGTCCTTCTTTTCTTGGTTTCAAGTACCCTGCATAGCTCTTTAAACAGTCTACTTTCGAATTGAGACCCCTGGTCTGAATTTATACTGACTGGACAACCAAACCTTGATATCCATTCCCGGACCAGTAGTGACGCTGTTCTCTCAGTTTTAATGTCTTTCATGGGATAGGCCTCAACCCATTTAGTCAGGTAATCACCCACTACCATGGCATATTTATTACCCCGTGACGTGGGTGGTAATTCGACAAAGTCCATGGCAATTTCCTCAAATGGTCTCCCCTTCACTGGAATACAAGTTAGTGGAGCTTTTGGTTTGGTTTTCGGGGACTTTCTTTGTTGACACTCAACACAGCTTGAACACCAATCCTCTACATCTTGTTGAAATCCTGGCCAATAGTACCTAAGTCTGATACGTGCTGAAGTTCGGTCGGGTCCGAAATGGCCTGACAAAATATTATCATGAAGTTCACCTAATGCAAATTCTCTCCAAGATTTAGGAAGGACTATTTGCATTATACTTGGTAATCCATTTTCTCTCTCAACTTCTCTATATAAGACCCGTCTGTATAACTTTAGATTCTTCTTCTGCTTATAAATCCACCTTGAAGTTCTTGATGCCTGACTCAGTTGTTCCTCACTTGGCTCTCCCCTTCTTAACCACTTTAACACCTGCCCGATATCAGGATCCTCCTCCTGGTCCTCCTTAAGAGTATCCATATTAAGGAAGGGGGCCTTGTGACCATCTGCAAAACCCTCATTTTGACCAACTTCATGGTTTTCATTGTTCTGGTCCTCAGCTAGTTCAGGGAGTGCATCCTTTAATGAAGTATGTTGGCTCTCACTGATCGACTTATCTGTTACATCTGGAGTTAACATTGGATTATCTTCCAGAAGTTGTTCCTTGAGTGATGTAGCCCTCTGCCATGTATTCACATTTTGGTGATCAGGTATGGGCTTAGTAGGGCACAACTTCAACTGCTGTGGTGCTAGATCATTTAGTTCCCTCTGTCCCTGCTTAGCAACATCAATTGTGGTGCATTTATTTATCTGTGCTGGTTCCCCAACTTGTATTCCAACTGATTTACTCATTGTCTTGGATTCTGATTCATCCTCTAATCTTGAGAGGAAATCTGCATTTGCATGCTCACTTCCTTTACGATAGACAATGGTATATGGAAATTCCTCAAGCAACATGAGCCAACGTGCCCAACGGCCCTTAGGTTCCTTGATATTCCTAAGCCAAACCAGAGGATTGTGGTCAGTCCTCAGAGTAAATGGTTTGCCATATAAGAATTGACGAAACTGGTTCACAGCATAAATGATGGCCAGACATTCTCGTTCTGTAGTCGAATAGTTCCTTTGCTCCTTGGTCAGAGTTGAGCTTGCAAAGGCAACTGGCCTTTCATGACCTTTGCCATCTTGCTGTGATAAACAAGCCCCCACAGAGTTGGCTGAGGCATCAGTGTCTACCAGAAAATCCCTATCAAAACAGGGGTATGCCATCACCTGATAAGATGCGAGTGTTTTCTTCAGGGTCTCCACTGCCTGGAGTTGATCTGCATTAAGTGTCAGTAACTTAGTTTTATGGAGTCTGCTGTTTTTAATGCTGTCATATAAAGGTTTAGCAGTGTCTGCCATTCCTTTTATGAACCTCCTGTAGTAATTCAATTTACCTAAAAACCGCAACATCTGTTCTATCGTCTTCGGAGTTGGCATCTCAACTATGGCCTTTACAGCATCTTCATTTGGTCGGACTCCATCAGCATCTACCACATATCCCAAATATTTAACAGCTTTTTGGGCGAAATAGCATTTCAGTGGTTGTAGTTTGAGTCCATGCTGCCTCAATCGATTGAACACCCGCTGAAGCGATTCCAGATGTTCATCAAAGGACGATGAATACACAATGATGTCGTCGAGGTAGACTAATACCTCTTGGTAATTTAAGCCTTGCATGATCAGACTCATCAGTCGCTGGAAGGTATGTGGAGCACCCTTCAATCCAAAGGGCATGCGGTTAAATTCCCAGTGGCCTTTTCTTGTTGAAAATGCGGTAAGGGGTTTGCTTGTTTCATCCAACTCGACCTGATGGTAACCGCTCGTAGCATCTAAAGTGGAGAAGATTCTAGCCTTTGACAAGTGATCTATGGCATCACCGATACGGATTAATGGGTAGTGCTGATCTTCTGTTGCATTGTTTAGAAATCTACTGTCATGACAAAACCTCCACTTACCACTGCTCTTTGGAACTAGTAACACTGGAGATGAGTGAGGCGACATTGACGGCTGAATTATTCCACATGCCAACATCCTGTCAACTTCTTGGTCAATAACCTCAAGTTCCTTTGGGCTGTGGCGATACTGCCTGCGAAAGATAACTTTCTCTTCCTTCAATTTAATATGATGTTTCATAATATCCGTTTTGCCCAAGTCATTAAGATCCTCAGAAAACACACACCTATAATCTTGAAGAAGGTGAAGCAGTCTGTCCGATTGTGCCGAGTCTAAATGGTGTACATCAGCTCTCCATCTTGCCAATGCCTCCAAAAACATAGAAGGATCTTTCGGTAATATCTCTGATGTCAGTGGGGTTGCACCCACCTCATTGATTTGGACATCATTACCGTCCTTTCCAAAGGGATCAGGTACCGCATCATATTCACCGATAGTAGTAGTATCAAACACCCCCATGTGGGTGCCTTTATAAAGTCGTCTTGGAGATGTCTCTGGGTTAAGCACTCTAACTTGAACTGATTTCCCCAACACATCTGCTCGACAAAGCCCATTAGCTGCTACTACATGTTTCCGAGACAGTAATTTAGTGCTTGGGGTAAACAACCCAGATAGGGAGTTCAAACGCATTGGTAACCTAGCTTCCACCCATGCTTCACTTTGCCCAGGTAGGATGACATCTCGAGCCAGGGTGATTTTACACACTGCATTCCTATCCTCAGATATTGGGTTGAGTTTCAATGACTCATCATCAAGCCTGATAACGCTATTCCTTTTGGACACTGACCATGTATCAAATTGATCCAAGACATCACGTCCAAGCAAAGCTGTCTTGGTTGAGCCCTGGATAACTGTTGCGAGCAAGGGTAGAACCCTGGAACCAATAGTAATTGTTAGCTGAACTTGTCCTGCTACTTTGATACCTGTGCCATCTGCTGAAACACATGTAAAAGACTCAGGTTGTGACCTCAACTCAATGTCTTCAAGATGTTGTTTGTAGGTATTTATGTCGATAACTGAGATCTTGGCACCTGTGTCAATTAGCCATTGCATTGGACGCTGCTCTTCCCCTTCTCGGTTACCAACTCCTACCGTTACCATGAGACCAGAAGATCCTTTTACCTCAGCAACCTCATTATTAGAGGAGCCGCTAACTGGTCTGTTGGAGGATGAATCTTTCCCATCTGTAGTTCCTGGCTGGTTCGATCTCTGTCTGTTACTAGGGGATGGACAAGCCTTAGCCATGTGGCCTATACCTTGACAATTATAGCATCGTACACCTGACGAGGTTCCTTGTTTAGTAAAACAATTACGAGCTATATGCCCTGGCTTACCACAATGAAAACACGAAATATTACTCTGCCTGGGCTCAGATGTTGACTGTTGGGTCTTGAGTGATGATACAACAAGATTCTTTAATTCAAGTAATTCTTCCCGAAGTTGTGAAACTTGGTCAGGTTGTTGCACCACTGGAGGACCCACAGCTCCTATAAGTGATCCTTGATCCTCTGACTTGCTTTGCTTTGTTGCCTCCCAAACCCTGGTAGCCAATGTCAGCAAAGCCTCTTTGTCTAAGGAATGCACATCACTCTGTTTGGACATATCTTCCAACAGCTTACTCGGAATGGACTGGATGAACTGCGTCTTTATCATCATAAGTCTGGCATCCTGAGACACCTCTGGATATACTAACTTGGACTGCTCAAGCAACTTAGAATAAAACGTCTTGGGTGCATCAGACCCTAGTTGCATCTTAGTATATGTCTCCATTGCTGCTTTCCTTGTAGGCCGCACCTCAGTACCAATGGCAGCTGTCAGTGTCTTAAAATCTATATCCTCATCTTCAGTTAATATCCTCTCATACTCTTCGAGAGGCTTGCCATCCAGAGTAGTACTTAGCATCACTATTTTGGTCTGTTCTGTCCAGTTATTGGCAGTTGCTACCCTGCAAAAGTGTTTCAGCCAGCTATCCCAGGTTGTTGTCTTACAATCAAAATTCCTGGGAGTGACTGCTTTTCTGTATTCTCTAGTAGTACTGTTCTGTTGTGCTGCTGGGGGCTGAACTACGGGGCCTGGTTCATCCCCCGCTGCAAGTGCCTCATTGGCACCACCTTCCCCATCTATGTCATTGGGCGGTTCTGCCATATTTACTGCCACCAATGTAATTACTCACAAATATAGGTAGTTTTAATATGGAAATATATTTTGAAACAATGTTAAAGTAACATATACATCTAAATTACATGTACAATAAAAGGGTGGTTATACCACAAACTCTCAAAGCGGTTAGTAATGAAACCAAATAAAGACCAGTAATGGTTACTCGCTACTTTTACTAGTCTGTGACACTGGTTACCCAAATTATCTGAGATCCTAACTTAACCTTGTGGTACCACCAAATCAACTGAGTAATCCTAATCGCTCACAACGAATACCCTATACTACCTACTGTATGTGGGAACACTGTATTTCCATCTAAATTAACTAACTCACTAACTCTTCGTTCTGCAAGTCCTAACACTTAACTATATTCTAATAACTCATGAACTAAAGTTAACCTATAATGGTTGCATACTTAAAATGCTATGAATACACATGAATGCATAAATACTATTAAGAGTTAAGTTTCCAGCTATAATATCTTATTAAGACATAATGACCCATAAAATGTGCATATATCAGTCAGAATGTTGCTGAATCAATGTTAATAATCAGACAATGTATATTGGGACACCCTGTAATGATATAAGCGATATTCTAATGTTTGCTGGTAACAGTTACTCTAATCGTCGCTCCGGTACAATGAAGGCTTTGATTTGTTCAACTACTTAACTCAGCACAATCCTACTCTATAGCAACTAATTGACTGCTCAATCTGGCCTTCTGTACAAATGGTCAAAGTTTATTGTACCACTCTATAATAACTCAAATATGTCGATCATTGAATCATATGCCATCATAATGCTCAATGTATCATGTTACACTCTATAATGATATTGTGCTGGTATGCTAGTATCTTAGGCTCCTATATGGTCGCTCTGGTACATATTCTGTCTGGTTCATACTGTAATTGATGATCACGGCAAATTGTGACATCCAATAACTACTAGTGCCAATCAATTAATGCTATAACACCATAATAGTCAATGTATATGAGAATACTCTGTATCGATAATCACTGATACTCATTCTGGTCTCCAGTTCACGCATGAATAGTGAACACTGTTAATATACACTATGAATGCTACTGAAGCACTATAATTACTAGTGCCAATCAATTTAATCGTATACCATAATAGTCAATGTATATGGGGATACTCTGTAACAATATCTTTCTATAAATCACCAATACTCATGCGGGTCTCGTGTTCACGTGTGAATACTGGACACTGTTAATTGTTACACTAGGCAAATCAGTTAATGTTACAAAACTACATCTATGAGCACCCTGATCACATGCTATGAATCGTGACGATATCTTTCTATAAATTGCCAATACTCATTCGGGTCTTGTGTTCACTTGTGAATACACACTTTGATTGTTACGCTAGGCAAATCAGTTAATGTTACAAAACTACATCTACAAGCAACACTGATCACATGCTATGAATCGTGCAATTTGTCGTGTATCTCAAGGTATTGTTGCTATATTCTGTAAAGCAAACCACCACCACAAGCGTTAGTATAAGGCCACTGGGAAGAATAATCTACTATACTCTATACCTGAAAACACATAAAAATATACCATACTACAGAATATCTAGATGAAATTAATTCAAATTCACATTTTCGTTTGATATAATTATTTTTCTGTAATATTTTGATGTGAGGCAATGGCATGTGTCCTGCCTAGCTTGTGCTTCAGGAGGGAAGTGGGAAGTGGTCATCGAAAAATAAGAGCAAAATTAGATTAATGTTACAAAGGCTGATTTCTAGCTAAGACTGACTACAACAAAGTTTTGATACTGATAACATCTCAATGACCTCAAATGGAGCTTTTATAGGAGTTTAAATTTGAATTGACTGTCAGCTCCTATTAAAGCAAATTAAAGTATCTGGTTTATGGCGATATTAAAGAATTATCTAATTTGAAGAGGTGAGAAGACGCCAAGCTCTTGAGAAGGGTATATCATCCTTTGTATACATGTACAAGTATAGAGCCTAATATGATACTGTTATGTCTGTATGAGTTCTGGATTATGTGTCAAGTATTTTCATTTTTCATTAACCTTGTTCTTTATCATGTGGCCTTAAATAGGGTCACAATTTTATGTGTATTTACTTCTTTGCTCTCTTGAGTCAATGCACTTTAACAGGAAAGTGAGGTGAAGTAAATCATCACTGTAGATGTTAAAACAAGAGTGTGTATTGAATTCATATGCAGTTCCAAGTGTCACAAAAGGCAACATTTTGAAAACTGATATTAAATTATTTAAATGGTTATTCCAAAACCTGTATTATCCAAACACTGGCTTATCCACCTTCCAATCTAAAGTTCTGTTTTTCCTCCCACTGACTCAAAAATGTTTAAAAAAGGGAAAAGTGAACTCTTCCCCAATTTCTCATTGAGAAATCAATCTGTCTAATGTGAAGATGTTTCACAAAATAGCACATGCTTCATACAAACTTTTTTAAATTTTCAATTACACTGAGTTAAGAGAAATTGGGACTTTGAAAAGTGTTCCAATTTGGAGGTGTTTCACTTATAGAGGCATTCCATTTTAAATGTTTTCTGTTTTCAAATTCAAAACTGTTGTGGTGTTTAATTCTAGATTCAATAATAAGTGGGAAAAGCCAGGAGCATCATGATGATGAGCCCCTATACCCCCGCCCCACTAATCAATACTTCTGGCAGTACAATCTGCAGTCAAAGGGACCCAAAGGAAAACCCCTAAAGATGGCGCTGCAGCATACTGACCCACATGACATTGGCAATTTCCAAGATCCTGTGTTCTCAAGACTTGAAAAAACAGCAGGAATTAAAGTGAAGCATTCTGGGAAGGCGAGAAAGGGAGATGGAACAGATGTCCGTGCAAGCCCAAAGAAGCTGTATCAAATTGGTAATGAGCTTAAGAAGTTGAACAAAGTGATTAATGATATGGCTCCTGTCAGTGAACTCCCAGCCAATGTAAGGCCAAAGACAAGAAAGGAGAAAAATAAGCTAGCCTCAAGGTAATCAAGAAATTCATTTTTAACCCTCAGCTAGTTTACCAACATCATATTTTTCTAAGAAATAAAAAAAGTACATTTAATCTGGAATGGATTGGATGCTCACCTGCAACTGACAATCCTGGATTGAAGGCCATAGCATGTAACTATGCTGTAAAGCATTAATTGTATGATGTCATAGTTATTATGTATAATATACAGTTCATAATGATAAACCTAGTCCTAAATCCCTGATTTCTTCATTTGCTGTGTCAGATTAATCTGAAAAAGTTATAAGCATTCAAATGTATTAATCTGTGTACATGCAGTCAGTTGAACATGAGGAACTGATTGTATACAAATTTGACATTCCAGGGCATGTCGACTGAAGAAGAAGGCACATCATGAGGCTAACAAGGTGAAGTTACATGGTCTCGATCAGGAGCATCGTAAGTTCTGTTTTCATTTTTTTTTAAAATAGCGATAACAATGATGGCTAAATGAGCAAGATTAACGATTTTAACAAGTTTAGCCAAGATTGGTCATTAGTTTTAACAAGGCAAATCACAAATGTTATTGAAAGTCAATATTTATAACTACATGGTTTAGTAGCATTTTATTGTTGCGTATATTCCTATTAACATATATCATCTGAAAATGTAAGATTCTGTCACCTTACAAAATTGCCAAGATATAAGATCCAATTGATAATATCGTGTAATAGGTTGTCATGAATTGATTTATTACAAGTTCGACCTTAATGTCAACTTTAGGCCAATTAATCATCTTTTTAAAGGAAATTTACTTAATACTTGTAAAGTTGATTCACAGGAAAATCAAAATAATCTGAATTAAGAATGACTCTAATATTTCAAATAAAAGTATAAAAATACATACCATATACAATAATATTTTTGTTACAGAAAAGCTGTTGTTCGTGCTGTCTCAAATAAAGGAGGAGATACAAGACCACAATTTGAACCCCCTACCCTCCTCTCCCAGAATCCCAAGAGAGAGCATGATTCACAAACTTGACTCCCTTATCAAGGCAAACTTGGGTAAGTTGGGCATTATATCAATATGTTTTTACATTCACTGATAGGATTTAGAGAAGAAATTGTTGAAATACTATCAAAATACATGAACTTCATTGCAATTTCTTCTCAAAATTTATAATTATTTCCTTTTATTCTCTTAGTATAAATGAATGTATTTTTATTTATGATTTACGATAGCAAAATTGATTTTGTTGGAATAAACATGAATAAATATAGATTGATTTTTTATTTTAAAATGTTCTGATTTTATGAATATAAAGAACATATTCTATGACAAAGCTTGGTATTTACCCGTCTCCTTGTTTTAGTTTCATGAAAAATTCTGTTGTTATTTAAATTAACGCAGCTCCTTATATCTAGCCAGAGTTAAGTTAATCTGTGATTATTTCAGGTCATATGATAGCAGGCCACACCCAGGAGTATGTGAATAGCGTCATAGAGAAGGTTCGCTTGGGAGACCCCAAAGGTGGCCTCAGAATATAACTAGACTAGATCTGCTCTTGGGCCCCAAATGGTGTCTAGAAATATGGACACAATGACTTGATTTATCAGGGGACCCTTAATGGCATCTTCAAATAGATCTGTTTGGAGGATCCCAAATGAGGTCTTGGACTATGAACATAGATTATTATAAAGAAAAGAAAAAAGAGCCAAATACGAGGAGTTTGCAGGAATGTGTTTTATAAAATTAATGCTTGCCATGTTGTTAACAAACTATATATGGGCCAAAAAGTGCAGTGAAATTAAGATACATAGCGTGCATGTAGAGTATATAAAAGTGCTACCTATGTACATGTATATAGTCATAAACTTGATGTTGGTGATGATATAATATTGGACTAAAGATCCTCTTGATGCATATGCTGGACAGGTCAGAGGATCATAAGTGCGGTTGACTTATTTGCACCCGATGTACAAATGAAATGACTGAGATTACTCTGAGCTCAATGATACCCTCTGATAACAACCTATCATGTTAATGAACAGTGTTCAACTAGAGAGTACTGCAGAGCCACACTAATGTAAACATAACTATATTGAGAAGCATCCTCTAGGGGAGACAGGCACGCTCTGATTGGCTCATTGAGCTCAGAGGTTTCTCAGTGTGAATGAATTACTCTGACCAAGGGTAAATGCCTTTACTGTTCTGTATTTTCTAGAAGGGTGCATAATATAGAGGATACCCCAAATAATAAACCCCTATTCCAATAATGTTCATTCAAGAAAACAATATTGAACTCTGGAAACGACAGTGTATTATATTGTACAAATGTTTTAACAATTATTTATTTTGAAAAACTATGAGGTGCGAGGGCAGGTATATTTAGCAATGCCAAACATTGTATATAAAATATGAGAAAGTTGAGACTTCTTGGTGTTTGTGGGATGTCTGTTATGTGTTATCTATATGTTATCCATAATTATTTACAGCATTGTATGCATAGAACTGTATATCATAGAACTCGGTTGTACATATAATATGGAGCTAAAGGTACTTTGCATCAGAGAGGGTTTTTTCTGACACGAAATAATAAACTAAAAATAGCAGAGGTTATCGAAAAGTATTGATAAAACTTTTGTGTATTGTTTAATCATTCAATTTATTAGTTTATTTGCACATTTGGATGCACATGATTTTAATGCCTTCAGTCAAAAAATGTTCAGCAGATTTGTTTTCTTTTGTTCAAGTATAACAGGATTTTATTTCAGAACTTAATATTTCTTAAATTTCCTTGTTTGGTTTAAATTTGTTTTATATATACAGGACGTGTGCATATAGCATGTAAATGTAGGGCTACTAGGTATAACATTTGACTATTCTATACAAATTATATATTATAATACATGTATAACTTGATCTGTATATGCATATAGACAACTACATATAATCACACTCATTGCACAATCACTATTGTACTCTAGGTATTCATTAATATATGTAAATATGGTATATATTGTATGTTACTTCTGGTATTTGGGTAAATCTAAATGGAGAATTGTGGGTAATTTAATCCTATTGCATTCTGGGTAGATGTTAGCTGATACAGCAGGCTGTAAGCATGAATACTACCTATCTAAGACACTAAACATTGCAGTATGTACATAGACTTGGACAGTAAAAAATGAACTTCATCGTATATTGGAGTTACCATAGCAACTGAAACAGCTAAGAAGGTCTGTGTTAGAATAAACAGACAAACAAATCAATAATTTCTTTTAGATTTTGAATTAGTATCTGATTTTTTTATCTAATTCAAATCCTTTATCTTTTAAATGATTTGATGTTTAATTTAACACTTCTTTTCTTAGCTTTTTTAAGTTTGCACTTACTAAAATAAAAAAGCTGACAAAAATTACGGGTGACATAATATTTCACATATAGTAAGGAGTATTAGTGGTGATGGATATTTGCTGAAAATGTAAGAATCTATGATTGAAATTACAATTACCATTTCTATTTTGAATAAATCAAACAAAGAAATCTATAATTTTATATTAGTTTTTCGACGCACCTTGATTCTTGTAGAATTTCGAATCAAGAAAGTATTTGAACAATCTTCAAAAAGAGATTCCTTGACATTTCCAAATAAAAAATATTTATTTCCAGATTGTTTTTGCATGGCCTCATAATGTCCTCCATAGATTTCTTTAACAGGATATTTTGATCAATTCTTTACTTTAGCGGCTCAGTGATTCAAAATTCTCTGATATTTCCAAAACACATTTTTAAATTTCAAAATTCCTGATATTATTGAGGTCCTTTTCAATTTCAACATTTTTAGTGCTGGAAAAATAAATATCCCTGCATGACATTTCCAGGTCTATAAGAACCCTGTTGAACAGTGACATAACTGAACTAAATTAACTTAATTTAATGTTTTGCATAAATGTGTATTTAGCTTGATAAAGGTCAAGGTTTTCAATATTTCTTATATCCTCAAAACGTATGTGCAATATTACATCCTTCGATGGAAATAGTTCATGAGTTTCTTGGATTAAGACTTATTGAGGCCACAATTCAGAAAAAGTGATTTCCTCATAGAGAGATACATTCTCAGCATGCATTTATTTTGTTGTTATTATTCTCCAACAGGATATACCTCCAAACAATGATGGTTTATGTAAAAATTATAGATTAGAACTAGATGTTTATGTAACAATACTATGAATGTTATATATAATGGTGTCATTTTAGATCTGTGTTATACTATGAATGTATTCTGAAAGAAGTTACATGTCTGATAAGTTGAGGGATTTACAATTCAGTTAACTTCAAGTTTTCCTGGTAGTCTCAATATAAGAAGGCTTTATAGTATATACATGCATATCATTGAGAGAACATTTCATAAAATTCAAAAATATATGTACAGTAAAACCTGTATAGTGGAACTCCTTTGTAAGTCGAACATATTCATGAGTGGAACAGTGTTTGAAGTTCAGTCATCTGAAAATGTAAAAATGAACTTCTGTAAGTGGAGCTACCAAGTGGAACATTATTTTGAGGTTCCAAATGTGTTCCACATATGCAAGGTTTACTGTATAATCCTTTAAATTTTATAGTTTCCTCATTTCCTGATCCTGGTCCTATTAGAATAAAGAGATGGATTTGAAATATGCTCAATCATTGACAAAATATGTAATGTCATGTACAATTGAACAGTGCTATCAATGTGTGAGTTATAAGAACTAATGATAAATATCACAATTGTACTAATATAATGATTTACTTCAGATTAATTATTCAAATTACAGTAAAACCTGTCTAAGTGGAACACTGTTGGTACCTCTAAAAAAACTCGGAAGGTAAGTCAGTTGGTCTTGGGACTCCAGAAAAATTATTCAAGTGGAATAATGTTGGTACCTCTTAAAAGTATTCCACTTGGAAGGTGTTCTACTAAAAGACATTAAGTCAGTTGGTCTTGGGACTCCAGAAGTGTTCCACTAACGGAGGTGTTCCACTTTACAGGTTTCACTGTAATTTAACCTTGATTCTTACTTTTGTTTTTTTAATTAATTTCAATTTTCATGTTTCAAGAAGGAGGTATTCAGTTGTCACAAAAGTGAAAATGTATCAGTCAGAAATCAAATCAAACAAGAAGTCAGATTCTAATTCACATATTGGCTGATTAGTTTATAATTTTATCAAATCAATGGCAGTCAAATCGCCAAAATTCTAATTTTACCAATAAAAATACATGTTATCTTTTTAATGATGGCATTCACTATCTTGTGCAGTTTCGATATAATATGAAAGCAAAGGGCAATGCAAGAAATGACTTATGATACAGGGTGGGCCAAAATATGCTCATTTTTAAATTTTACTGTAACATTTTTATTAATCAATATACATGTACTCCAAAATCTAAATCTCATCCCAATACACATTTAAATATATTGATGCTTATATAAGAACAAATGAATAAATCACTATTGAAACAACATCAAATTTAGATGCTTATATGAGAACAAATGAATAATTCACTATTGAAACAACATCAAATTTAGATGCTTATATGAGAACAAATGAATAATTCACTATTGAAACAACATCAAATTTAGATGCTTATATGAGAACAAATGAGTAATTCACTATTGAAACAACATCAAATTTAGAATCCAAAGTGCAACAATAAAAACGTTATAGCAAATGAATAAATATGGACATTGTTGGCGCACCCTGTACAGTCGATTGTACATAAGAAATTATCCTAGTTTCAAAGTTTATTTTACAAATAATACTTGTATGATGGTGAAAAGAGAGTTCAGGAGTTATGTTGGGAATAGAGAATTATTTTTAATCTGTATCGATTCCCTGATATTCTGATCAGACATATGTGTACAGGAATGAGGACATATTATGTATTATATATCTGACTGAATAAAACATAATAAATAAATGAAATATTTTGTCCTTATATCCGCAGAATGCAGAGTGCCAAACACAGTTCCAAAAGAAGTTGAAAACAAAAATGATGCAACATGCATGAATTGATGAAGTTGTGTTCCGTTGTGTTATACATTATTAGGCATGTCAAAACAGAATCTTGTATTCTACAAGTACCATTATATACTCCTCAAAAAAAGTTAAGGACCTCATAGGTTTACATGTTAAACCCCATATTTGTTTAACGACTGTTTTCTAAGCGGGGAACAGAAGAATTCCCAATAAAGAAAATAAATCTGTATCTTGATTCTATTCACTATAAAGTCCGCAACGTTTCAATGTTATATCTCCATTACATTGGGTCAAAATTTGATGTCAAAATTGATGAATTTCATGAAATTTAACAAAAATGGCAGATCCCATGTTAAACAAATGGGGAATGGTTGGGTTGCCATAAGTCATATGAGGAACGATCCATCCATCCAATTGCTCTCAAAATTGAGATTGTAAGAGATAATAAATTTGCAAAATTGTCTACTCGACAAAAATATGATTTAATTGTCCAGGCTTTACAAAAGTTAATGGTTTCAAATTCAATAATTTCTTAATGAACTTCTTATTGAAATAACACAGGTGGTTCAGTGAGGTGGTCAAAATTACTTTAACGCTCCGTATCGCTAATTTTAACAACATAAGCGAGACATTTAGCATGTAAAATCATTCAATTTTCTACTTAGAAAGTATTTTTAATAAATGTTTTGCTGAATAGATATTCCAAAATCTGAGTTGCCCCAAAGCCACCATTCCCCATTTGTTTAACATGGGATCTGCCATTTTTGTTACATTTCATGAAATTCATCAATTTTGACATCAAATTTTGACCCAATGTAATGGAGATATAACATTGAAACGTTGCGGACTTTATAGGGAATAGAATCAAGATACAGATTTATTTTCTTCATTGGGATTTCTTTTGTTCCCCGCTTAGAAAACAGTCGTTAAACAAATATGGGGGTTAACATGTAAACCTATGAGGTCATTAACTTTTTTTTTGAGGAGTATATAAACGTTCTAAATGGAGAAATCTGAAAGCCTAGTTTTTTTAAAAACATTTTTTATTTTTTAGAGACAACATAATATGCACATGCATATAAAAGTTGTGTACAAAATGTGCACATGGATTTCAATTAATTTTGTATAATGACAGAATGGGGGTGTCAGTACATTAACAGGGCCTAGGGCAAAGCATTATGGGCACAATAGGAGACTGAACATAAAACCTTCTGTTTGACACAAACAATAATAAATCTATTATGGAGAATATATCTATGTTACATACAATGGTTTTCAGTCAAAAATCAAAGGAAATTCAAGTTTCAAAAATCTCCTTTTTTCATGAACAAGCATTTAATTTGTGTAAATAGATCATATGCAACAGAGTTACAAAGTGTGTGGTCTGAAAATGTGATAAGCCTTCTGAGTATGTGTTTATATCAAAACTTTCTTAATTTCAAAACTTCATTTTTTTAAGATCACAAACGATGAAGTCAATATTTTACATATTATCTTAGACTGAACTGAGATAGCATATAAAAACATAATGACAAATACATGATGTACATGTGTACAACATTTGAAGTCCAACTTCCATATCTCTATGAGTTTGACATGATTGTTCAAACTTTCATAAGTTATTCACACTTTATTTAATCTAAATGTTTCAATTTGTTCTATGATCCCTTCAGTGTGGTTTCTAACTCGTCTCCCTCTACAAGTTCCTGAAAAGAAATACAAAAATATGAATTCAAACATTTACAAGGGAACCAGATCAGTCATCAAAGTGTTATCTTTGGGAAACTTTGACTACGGAAGTGAGGTGGTGGAATACGAAGCCAGGTTTTGTTCAAGGAAAATAGGAAACATTGAGTGGAGGATGATGTGATTTAAATGTCCAATTATAGTTGACAAACGAATGAAATAGGATGGATGGGTCATAGCCTTCGTTAACCTTCGAGTTTCACGACAAAAACATTAATATTTTCACCAAATCCTGAAGAGGTACAACAACCTAGAGCTTTTTCCTAGTTTACATGTGTTGTGGAAGACTTGATAGCAAAAGAAATACATACAACTTCATAACAATCAATTTTGAAACTAACAGTTCAGATCTTTTCAGTCATTTACTCATTTATGTCCAAAGTCTCAATTAATTGTAACGTGACAAAGCAAAACTACCTCAATATTTCCAAATAAGTTTTTTTTTCCATTTTGGTCAAAACATCTTGTTATTCATCATTTTGACAAAGAGCAAGCAGATTTTCAAGAGGGTGACAAGTAAATTTCCCATGGAACTTAACACCCACTTAGCTCTATAATGTTTGGTAGATCTGGCAATTGTGTTCTGTTCTCCATGAGATTTGTTCTCCACTTGTCTCTAATATAACATATTCTAACAAAAAATTGGTGAAATATCCCAGCTGTTCATCAGTTTAACAGTGGGTGCCAGTAGATTTTCATTTGAGTGCAAGTTAAATTTCAAATTCTTGAGTGCTAAGGAGACGATGTAACGAAATAATTTTCTGTAACATTACTTTTACTTACCTTTATAATGTCTAATCCACCGATAAGTTCTCCTTTTGCATAAAGCTGTGGATATGTTGGCCAATCAGAATACTTCTTTAGTCCTTGTCGAACCTCTTCATCTTTTAGTATATCAAATGTTGTATATGGTACCCTACAAAATAACATACAAGTATATCAAATGTTGTATATGGTACCCTATAAAATAACATACCAGTATATCAAATGTTGTATATGGTACCCTATAAAATAACATACCAATATATCAAATGTTGTATATGGTACCTTATAAAATAACATACCAGTATATCAAATGTTGTATATGGTACCCTATAAAATAACATACCAGTATATCAAATGTTGTATATGGTACCCTATAAAATAACATACCAGTATATCAAATGTTGTATATGGTACCCTACAAAATAACATACAAGTATATCAAATGTTGTATATGGTACCCTATAAAGTACCCGGTAGTATCGTCAAGTATGGTAAGCGTTACACTCAAACGCGAGTTTTATCTTTCTATACTCTACAGGTAGCATTCATTAGTATTGAAACCATCATTCCATTTCCTTAGTATTTCATTCACTGTTTCACTCACTGTTCACTCATATAAATACGTTTGCATTCATTGATCACGTTTATCTGTTGTGCATCCTGAAGTGTGTCATCCCGTTATGTTCTGTACAAGTGATGTTCTGTAATGAGTAATTTACACGTGGCCTTCTATTGTCAGAATGGTACACATACTGAGGTATTTACATATTTATCATTGTTTCAAGTTCTATATAATTTATTTATTAATCTTATTTATAATATCATTTATACATTATAATTGGATACATCAT